TCTCTTTATTGTCTATCTGTGTCTACCTGTTATCTATGTATCATTCTATCTATTTCTATGTCTGTTGAACACGAAGCTTAATAGGAAGTTTGAGGTGATTTAAAAAGACTTTAGGAAACATTGCAGCTTGCTTATTGATTATTATTGGATATTTATAAAAATAATTCTATATCAATATTAAAAGGAGGTTGCTACATCATGACTTAGTAGAACATAGTCATACAGTGAGTCTCTTTAGATGCATTTGTATTTTTATTTTTTAAATTACCATGGCATTATTTTATGTGTGTGACTCGTTGTGCCTTAATGCACATCTGTGCACCATATGTATGTCTGGTGCCTCTGGAGGCCAGAAGATGGCATCTGGAACTAGTGTGGGTACTGGAACGAAACCCCAGTCCTCTGGAAGAGCAGCCAGTGTTCTTAACCACTGAGCCATCTCTGCAGCCCCAGTTATATTTTAATTTTGTCTTTTAAACCAATCAGATACTTCCTTGACATGCTGAATTTCTTCACATTAAAGTAACTACTGAGAGGAATTGCTTTCTGTTGTTACTTGGCTAATTATCTTTTGATGGTGTTTTTCTTCACTTTTCCTCTTTTTCTGTCTTTCTCTAGTTTCAGTGCTTCTCAGAGTGGCATGCTTTTCTTCTTGCTTGTTTACCTTTGTGTACATTACATATTTTCTTAGTGGTTAGTGCTGTAGGATGTTCTGTATGGCAAATGTGTTGCTCTGATTGGTCAATAAATAAAACACTGATTGGCCAGTGGCTAGGCAGGAAGTATAGGTGGGACTAACAGAGAGGAGAAAAGAAAGAACAGGAAGGCAGAAAGAGACACTGCCAGCCGGCATGATGACAAACAGTATGTGAAGATGCCGGTAAGCCATGAGCCACATGGCAAGGTATAGATTTATAGAAATGGATTAATTTAAGCTGTAAGAACAGTTAGCAAGAAGCCTGCCATGGCCATATAGTTTGTAAGCAATATAAGTCTCTGTGTTTACTTGGTCGGGTCTGAGTGGCTGTGGGACTGGCAGGTGAGAGAGATTTGTCCTGACTGTGGGCCAAGCAGGAAAACTCTAGCTACAAATGGCGCCCAATGTGGGACAAGAGTTTCCACCTAAAAACTGAGAAAAAAGACTCTAAAATGGAGCTAAAAACAGTTCCTAATTGTCTCTCTCAAATGAGCGGCAGCTGCCGGTTTGAGCTACTTGTGGGTTCCTAGCGTGTGTGCTCGACCTGCCGTATGGCGGGAGTGAGGCCTCTGCAAGTGGCACATTAAGCTGCGTGGTAGATTTAGCCTTTGCTAGTACAAAACAAAAAAAAGTTTCTGGGCTACATGCTGCTTGGATAAAAGCATAGACCCATGATGGCTCCTGGAGCTGGCAGTAGGCGTACCACCACCATGTTCGGAAGCTGAGGTGGGCGGAGCCAGCAGCCACAGCTGCTGCAGTTTAAAGCAATAGATTCACAATAAGACAGATTCAGATGTAATAGTTTACAATGTGTGTAAAATATATGTAGGCTTGAAAGAGACAAAAAAGGTGATATATACAGTTATATAAACAAATACATAGTTTTAAAAAATAAAGTCTTTAAAGAGACAGTAAAATTAATATAAAAAATAAGCCATGTAAAGATGAATATTACACAGAGAATCTGGATTGTGCTGTCTTTGGGTTTTCAACTGCAGAAAAACTTTTGATCATAAAAGATGTTGAGTTAAACCAATATGTATATTTTACAGATATCTTGACTTCAAAATTTGGATGTAAGGATGTGTTGCTTTGGAAAGGAGACTCTGCTTTTGTTCCCACAGAAAGCCAGAGGCTATGGATTTGTTCCAGATTAAGATACATCAGGTTTGACCAGCCAAGACCCCCTGAAAGGTCTCCGATGATACCATGGCCCAGATAATCTAACATCCAGAATGGTTTGAAGGCAACTGGCTCAGACAATACAGCCTCATGGACTATTCCATAATCCTAAAATTTTCTTTGTGTCCCCATAAGATACAGCGGCCCCCTCCAGCAGGAAGTAGTAAGAGAAGCTACGCCCAAATTCCCAAATTATATGTAATTTTACTTTGTTAAGGTTAAAACCTTCCTTTTTAAAAAAAAAAAAGAAAAGGGGAAGTGCTGTAGGATGTTCTGTATGGCAAATGTGTTGCTCTGATTGGTCAATAAGTAAAACACTGATTGGCCAGTGGCTAGGCAGGAAGTATAGGCGGGACTAACAGAGAGGAGAAAAGAAAGAACAGGAAGGCAGAAAGAGACACTGCCAGCCGGCATGATGACAAACAGCATGTGAAGATGCCGGTAAGCCATGAGCCACGTGGCATGGTATAGATTTATAGAAATGGATTAATTTAAGCTGTAAGAACAGTTAGCAAGAAGCCTGCCATGGCCATATAGTTTGTAAGCAATATAAGTCTCTGTGTTTACTTGGTCGGGTCTGAGTGGCTGTGGGACTGGCAGGTGAGAGAGATTTGTCCTGACTGTGGGCCAGGCAGGAAAACTCTCGCTACAGGTTAGCCCTGCAATTACATTTAAAGATGCATTTTAACCTGATAATAAGCTCAACTGTTTGTAAAAACTCTATGTTATTGGTGAAACAACTTATCCAATTTTGCATTGAGAGATTATTAATTTATAATTAAGAATTCAAAAAGAAAAGTCTATGTCAGATGGATTGGTGATAGACCTATTGTGTTTAATAACACAAGGTTGCTCTATGTGTCGTTACCAGGGGGCTGCACATCTCCACAGTGTTTTGGTATGTTTGCCATCTTCTTGTTTCCATTTGTCAGACTCCACTTTCTGTCCATCCTATTTCACTGTGCAAGTTTTGTAATAAGCTCCCACACATTTTACTCATCCAAGGAAAATACTGATTACTTTCTGACTTCTAAAGGACAGTTTTGTAACTACAGCTTTTTGTTGACAGGTTTTATTAACTTTTCTCCCCAACACTTTGAATGTATCACTCTACCTCCTTTTAAACTGAATGTTCTTATTAAACAGAGCAGCTTAAACAACAGCTATTCATTTTTCCCATCACTGGAGGTTGGGCGGCTGAACTCAGGGTCCCACCAGAGCCAGGTTCAGGTGATGAGTCTCTTTCTGGATGTGCAGGTGGACTTCCTCTTACAACATCATTGCATGACAGAGCAAGAGGAGAAAGCACTCTACTCTCTCTTATCATAAGGTTGCTCACCCCAGTGTGAAGGTTCAACTCTCAAGAACCAACAACATCCTAATAGCCCCAACAGTATGTATGACTAAGGATTAAATATTGCAATTTGGAGAGACACAAACTCACATTCCATAATGTGGTCACGTTTTATTATTATTAGAGCAAAGAATTTGCTTATATATATGGTTGTGGGCTGGAAGAAAAAAATATTTTAAAAGTTTTTTTAAGAATAAAAGGCACTGCCGGGCGATGGTGGTGCACGCCTTTAATCCCAGCACTCGGGAGGCAGAGCCAGGTGGATCTCTGTGAGTTCGAGGCCAGCCTGGTCTCCAAAGTGAGTTCCAGAAAAGGTGCAAAGCTACACAGAGAAACCCTGTCTCGAAAAACCAATAAATAAATAAATAAATAAATAAATAAATAAATAAATAAATAAATAAAAGGCACTTTATACATTGATAACCTTTTAAGCTATGGCAGTTTGAGTGAGAACGGCTCCCATAGGTTCCTATTTGAATGCTTGGTCACAAGTTGGTGGAACTATTTGTGAAGGAAGAGGAGATGTGGCCTTGTTACAGGAAGTGTGTCACTGAGAGAAGGTTTTGAAGTTTCAAAAAGTCCATAACATTCCAAGTTGGTTCTCTCTTGGCCTCCTGTTTTTCGTCTCAATATATGAGATCTCCACTACTGCCCCAGCAAAATATTTACTTGCCTGCAGTCATGCTCCCCACCACGACTGTCATGGACTAATCCTCTAAAACTGTAAACAAGCCTTTGATTAAATTATTTCTGTAGACAAATTGCTAAACAGTCTTATTAAAAAAATGGAGCCAGATATTGGGGTTACAACCTGAAAGATCAGAGGAATAGGAAAAATCGCAAGTCAACCTCACCTTACTGACCCTCAGCTTCCAAAAGAGACCTACTTCCTATATGCCCATGCCTATATGCCTTTCTGTTCTGCTATCTCATCTGCTCTCTCTGTTCAGCTACATCATTTCCTCTTCCTACCCAGCTCTGTCACTTCCTGTCTGTCTATACAGACCTCCAAACCTTTATGGTTAACGAGTGTTGGAATTTAAGGCATATGCCACCACACCTGGCTCTGTTCCCAGTGTGGTCTTGAACTCACATAGATCCAGACAGATCCCTACCTCCCAAGTGATAGGATTAAAGGCACGTGCTACCACTGCATGACTTCTATGTTTCATATAGTGGCTGGCTTTTTCTTCTGATCCTCAGATGAACTTTATTGGGTTGCACAAATAAAATAACACCACAGCTTTCCTTTATAAATTGTCTTGATCATGTTATCTTGTCACAGCAATAGAAAAGTAGTTAAGATAGTACTTTAGATGAAATGTTAATCACTCATGTTGTCTCTGCAACCTTCATTAACTTCCAAGATTTCAATTTTCCATCTGGGTTCCCCAAAACACTGCCCTTGAAAAGATCTTGCCTATCTGTAGATTTGGCATCTGCTGACACAAAGATTAGGCTAAAGTGATTATATAATTATCATAATCGGCCAACAGAGATTAGAAATCAGTTTACTCTCTAACAGTGTTGACTTTGCTGCTCTAATGATAATCAAGTTAGGAAGATACGCCTTATCTGTACAATGATGACATTAAAAGATCGAAGAGAATACCAACTGCTACCAGGGAAAGACTGATATGCAGTCTTCAATTGAAAACAAAAATGAAAAACAAAAACTGTATCTTTAAGTAAAGTAGAAAAGCAATTGAGTCCTATAGACAGTGTATACTCCTTTGATTAACCCCCTCCCGTTTTGCTTTTCCTTAGATATTTTTGGCAGCCCTCTCATTCAGCTATATATGCAAGGCACTAGCTGGAATCATTATGAAAAGTTCCATCACACAAATAGAAAGGAGATTTGACATATCTTCTTCCACTTCCGGTTTGATTGATGGAGGATTTGAAATTGGTAATGTTTATTGCTATTTTACTAACCAGACTTATAGAGGAAAAATACAGTTCAGACATGTTCTGGGCCCGTGCTTCTCAAACAGGTATAACTTTGTCCTTTCTGCAAAATATAGCAGTATCTCTGGAGTCATTTTTGTTGTTATATTTTGTGAAGCAGTGCCACTAACATGTAGGAGTTAAAGTCAGTGATATCTCCAAGTATGGTACAAACTGATTGTCAGTCATTGTGAAAAGAGGACTTTGGAAGATTGACCCATTGCTTTCATGCTGACTCCAATGAGACTCCACCTTCCCTCTCTCTAGAGGGAAGAAAAGTTGAAAGAGCTATTGTACCTTTGATTTAAGGAGCAAAGAACAGCTTGGGAATAATACGTGTTAGAGTTTTGCTCTTTAACTCTTGTGGGGGGTGGCTTTACAGCATTGGAGATGTACTCTGTTGTCTTCACTTTGATTTTAACATCTTCTTCCATGACACCCAAGCTCCAAGCAATTACCCAAAGGGATTCTTCTCTTCTCTTATGAAGCAGTAGAAGTATAATACCTCTGCTCATTTTCTTTTATTAATTCAATTTATTCATTTATTTTACATCCCAACCATAGTTCCTCCTCCCTCATCTCCTCCCATTTCCTCCCCCCACATCCCCTCTACACCTGCTTCTATCAGTTATTGGACGAAGGCTCTTTGATGACAATCAGGTAGTCACCAATCTAATTACAGGAGATGGCTAATATAAGCTACCTATCCACTATTGCTAGGAGTCTTAGCTAGGTCTCCCTTGTAGATTTATGGGAGTTTCCCTTGTACTACATTTCTACCTGACCCCAAAATGCCCCCCCATCAAGATGTCTCTTTCATTTCTCTCCCCCTCTCACTTGCCCCCAGCCCAATCCCTCATGCTCCCATCTCCTCCCAATATACCCAGGAGATCTCTTCTATTTCCCTTTCTCAGGGAAATCCATGCATCCCTCTTTTGGCTCTCCTTGCTACCTAGCTTTTCCTGGTCTGTGTATTATAGCCTGATTATCCTTTACTTTACAGTGAATATCTACTTATGAGTAAGTACATAACATGTTTGTCTTTCAGGGTCTGGGTTACCTCACTCAGGATGATTTTTTTTTTCTAGTTCTATCCATTTGCCTTCAAATTTCCTTATGCCATTGTTTTTAACAGCTGAGTATTTTTTAACTCTTTAATTTTTTGGAGAGCTTCACAGCCATGCCTATTTTATGAATATCAAATATTTCCTACAAATTGGTGGTCACTTTTTAAAACTTGACACAGGACACATTTACACAATATTTTCAAAGTAGTTACATAAAAGAAGACCTATTAGTTTTTCCTCATGAATCCTGAAGTTTTGTGAGGCAAAGGATATCTTTTTTGATATTTTAATTTCTTTTATTAGATTTTTTACATTACAAACATCTTGTCATGGAGTATGATATTGCTTAGGTTAGTGCATCTGGAGCAGAGGGTACTACTATGAAATACAACTCATTTGAACAGATACACAGCCTTAACTTCAAATAATATTGTATGTGTATTATTTTATGTTTTAGAAAGATTATATATTTTATTGCTGGCTGAGAATTCATTACAATCTTTTTAATTCAGGCAAAGCATTGCCCTTTATAGGTTGGTTTCCCCTTCCTTCCTTCCTTCCTTCCTTCCTTCCTTCCTTCCTTCCTTCCTTCCTTCCTTCCTTCCTTCTAAATGCAGCCCAGCTTTCTTCAGACAGGACTATGTAGGTGGGAGAATAAAGGGTGTGGAACCAGCAGGATAGTATTGTTGACTAAGATCACACACATATCATTTTCTTGGTAAGCTTATTCTGGTATAGAGCTTCCTCCTAGAAAAGATTTTTCTTAATCTCAACAATGAAAACTTAGTGGGACAGGCCATTCTTAGAGTGGCTAAGATCATCTCTGGATTAGAGATATTCACTTCAACACACTCATTTATTAGTAGCCAGATCCCAGGAGAAAGAGTAGAGTGGATTCAGCACTAAATAGAAGAGAAATCTGTCATTGGGATGTAATATAACTAACTACTGGAATATAACTGTCAAATGACTATAGACAGCAGAATACAGGCCTCTTCTGAACTGAATTTCATCCTGAGCAATCTCTGCAAAGGATATCTTATACCTTATGCTTTTTCAATATTTGATTTCCCTGACTCTTAAAAAAAAACAAAAATAAAAACAAAAAAAACCTTGTACATGTGTGTGTATACATATTTGCAAACATGTTCTCAGAGGCTAGAAGAGGAGATTTGGCAGTCACGAACCATTCAACATGGTTACTGGAAACCAAACACAGGTCCTCTACAAGAGAGCATGTGCTCTCAAGCAGTCAGCCAGATCTCCAGCCCTCACTTCACTGCTTCCATGGAAGCAGCTACAGTTTCACAATTAGAATTAGATATTGATTTTCAATTTGCCTTACAGCATGTTTCTTCACCTACAGGATTCTTGAATCTGTGATTCCACATTTTATCTTTATTTTTTTTCTTTATTATATCTGTGACCAGTAAGAAACGAATGAGACCCCATTAGTTGGAAATCTATTTCCAGAGGCTTATGGTTCCAGGCTTTAAAAGCCTGAGGTTTGATGCTCTGAGCCCTGAGAACTAAGACTCATTGCTTCAACCTCAAAACAACACGCATACTTGTAGCTCTAAATGCTTAGTTTAAAGGCTTGTTGCTCTGAGCTCTGAGCACTGAAAGCCCAGAAGTAGGCAGGTGACCTCACTCTGCAAGCTCCTGGTATCAACACCCTTGGGTGGCTCTGTAGGTCTCCTCTCCTGGCTGTTTCCTGTCCTGTCTACTGTTGTCTTCCATTTTATATAATTAAAATATATGCATTTTTCTATTTTTTAGTTTTACACTTTATTTTTCTTCTTGGTTTCCCACTTTTTATCTTCTGAATCAATAATATTACACCTGTAAGGATACTGTGCTTTCTCAAAGTCTCTCCTCTTTCCAGGTAATTCTTATTTACTTTGTGTATTTTTTCTGTTTCTTTTTGAAATTTCATGTTGTATCTTTTTTTTATTTTCTGCCAAATATTCAGTAAATCTTAGTAACTATCTGTTTAGTGTTTATGTCTAACTCCAGGTAGATTAGAATTGACTCCCACATTTGGAGTTCTCCATTTCCCATTGTCAAGCTAGATAATTTACAGTCAACATGACATTTCAAATAGTCTTTCCTCTTGGAAATTTTACGAAAGCTCTTAATTAATTGACATTCCCATGGCCCTGAGCTCTGCCCACCTACCTGCTTTCATTTCTAATGTGTTTTTATCATTTGTTTGTAACCTTGTTTGTGGTTTGTTCTTTTATGATATTTTTGGCTGGAAATATTGTGGCAGGTACATATTAGGGCTTTAAAGAATGCCAGGAATGTATGAAAACTGCATTAAGCAATGCTTTTCTCTCCCACTGGGACGACTTTTCTCTATTTGTTTTCCTCTTAGTACAATCTAGTTGACTTTAAATTCCTAAAAAAGAAAAAAATAATCTGCCTTAGCAATATTGTCAACCAATTCAAGTATGTTTTATTGTCTCCAAAACATATTCTATAGGTTGGTACAAAAATAAATAAATTTTCTTTTGCAACCCAGAACTCAATGTCCCCTATGAATTTTTGTACAGGTAAGAAGAAATATGATGATGTCTAGTTTAAAGTGTCTTAAGTGTTCATGACCATTGAGGTTCGTTCCAGAAAAATAAGCTGATATTCAAAACAAAAACAAAGGACTTGAAAAACAGTCCACTGGTTAAGAGCACTTACTGCTCTTTCTAAGGACCTAAGTTTGATTTCCAGCACCCAAATCTAGAGGCTCACAACCATCTGTAACTCTTCCTCCAATGGATCTGCCTCTTTCTTCTGGCCTCGTGCATGTGTGTGCACACAGACACACAGACACACATACACACACAGACACACACACACACACACACACACACACACACACACAATTTTAAACAAAATAAAATAAAATAAATAAACCTACCATAACTAAATAAGTAAATAAAATAAGATTGCCTCTGCATACTCTTAATCCTATGCTTTTCTATGGTCCATTTAATTAAGGTGAGTTTCCCCTCGTCAGTCAACTGAGGAAAGGGCCAAGTGTTTTCTCTGTTTATACTGTTTGGGGCCTTCCATTCTACCAGACACACTGACCATAAGCATTTTCTGTGATGAACCAAATTGACATAACTTGATTTCATTACAGGGAATTTGTTTGTTATTGTATTTGTGAGTTACTTTGGATCCAAACTACACAGACCAAAGTTGATTGGAATTGGATGTTTCATCATGGGCCTTGGGAGTATTATGACTGCAATGCCTCATTTCTTCATGGGATAGTAAGTATGGGGTGCCCTGTGCCTTTTCCACTGATACATAACTTAGTGATGGGGTTTCACTTCTCTTTCCTTTTTGAGAAATTTCTTAGAGAACTTTATACATGTGCACAATGAAATATAATCACATATACCCCCTTTCCCCCTCCAACCCCTTCCATACCCCCATAATCCCCTCCTAACTTCATGTCTCCGTCCTCATCCTCATGTTTGTCCTCATTCTTATTTCAAACTTTCTTTTGTAACCCTCTAAATCCAGTTAGTACATGGGCATGGGCCCACTGCAGCATGGTCAAACTCGTAATGGCCACAACCTCAAAGTAGAGTAATTCTCTCTTCTCCAGAAGCTATCAACTGTTGCTCTCTGCTCAGCAACAGGTGGGGCCTGGAGGTCACCTACCCTATCCATGAAGGAATTATAACTAACTTGATCTTGTGCTGAGACTGAATGCTCAGTCCTAAATGGAACTAAAGAGAAAACAGTGGGTTCTGAGATACCAGGACCCATTTCTAATGCGCACGCATACACACACACACACACACACACACACACACACACACACACACACACACTTCATCATGCCCATACTTTTTTCATGGCTAGTACCAAATGTCTACATCTCTGTTGCTCCACCTTCAGTCTAAATCCTTGTAATAACTCATATGAAATATGTACTTTAAATCCAGTCATTATTCCCATTGGATAATTATTTCTAACATTCAGTGTCTGCTTATCCATTTACCATGTCTATATCTCCACCAGGCATTCAAGGCTTTTCTGTCCATGTATCACAATCTGAACTCTGTATTTTTGCCAACACCTGCTTATTTTCATACCCATTCATTCAGTCATTGTTCTTACAACTGCAAAGGAATTCAGGTCAAAGTCAAGGGCTTCTTCCTAAGCTCCCGATTTACTGCAACACAGATGACCAACAGTCCCCAAGATCTTATTCATTTTACATCCATCTGTCAATGTGGACATCAATGTCCTTATCCTAGCTGAAGTCAATAATCTGGAGCTCTTGCCTTCAGTTTCAGTTCTTCTCATGACTAAAAGACTTATTTATTGTTTTCATTTCATGGGTATGAGTGTTTTGCTTCTGTGTATGTGCACCATATGCATGCAGAGCTTGTGGAAGCCAGAAGAAGGCATTGGAACTGGAGTTATAGGTAGTGATGAGCCTCCTGATGTGGCAGCTGGAAACCAAACTGGGACCATCAGGAAGAGCAGCCAGAGCTCTTCACTGTGGAGCCAGCTCTCTGGCTGCTCAGTCCTATTTTAATTCACATTCAATACAAGAACATACTTTAAAAATACAAATCTAGTTTTCCTAATTTTGCTTAAAACTCCCAATTTTCTAGAACAGATTTTCAAACTTCAGATCCCAGTTTATCAATAGACCAGCAAAACTCCTTCAGGTTAATGAGACAATCATGTATTGTGAGATAGACTTGAATAATATACAACATATGCAGGGAAATAATTCTGTCCTTCAAAAGCATCATTCAAGATATATATATATATATATATATATATATATATGTGTGTGTGTGTGTGTGTGTGTGTGTGTGTGTGTGTGTGTGTATGTATATATGGGAGTGTGCATATATACTATTGTAGGAATATAAAATGCAATTATTATAAGTTACAATCAAAAATATTGAAAGCTCTCACCTGTACATTAATCATATCTAAATTTGCATGCCAATGCATGCTGCTCACTAACTGGGTCCTTTACTGTGCCCCAGAGTTGCCAAACAACTGATAAAACTGCAGTTCTCCACATGTGAGAATGTTTTACTTTTATATATAGTGGCTCTACAGCCTGTGTACTTTCCTCTGGGGTCTACCTCTTAAACTCTTTCTCATCACTGTTTCATCTCACATGCCATTTATTTATTTATTTGTTTGTTTGTTTATTTATTTATTTGATACAGGGTTTCTCTGTGTAGTTTTGGTGCCTGTCCTGGATCTCGCTCTGTAGACCAGGCTGGTCTGGAAACTCACAGAGATCCACTTGACTCTGCCTCTCCAGTGCCAGGATTAAAGGCGTGAGTTACTGCTGCCTGGTATCTCACATGTTCTGTACACAGTGAAGTCTCCAAATATCTACCCCAGTCTCAACCTTCAAGCAAAGCTAATGATCTCTCTTTGTCCTTTATGAAAACCCAGGACCTTGGATACTGAACTTACATGTTAGAGAGGATGAAAGTCCTTAAGCACAAACACTATGCATTTTGATTCTAGTTTTGAAGTGGAGTAGAGTGCTTGGTATGCACTGGGTTATCCAGTATAGAGGTACAAGATACATTAGTATTTCTTGGATTACAGCATATGTTCCTATTCTGACTTTATCCCCTTTGTTTCTATTAAATACTCCTAGGTCAAGTCAAAGTGTGTCAGAATTTATTAAAGTTTCAGAGTCAGACATTAGCTCATGTGTACATGTACATCCATAAAAGAAAATCAGATGTTTTGATAGGAAAAGTTGATGAATTATCATGCCTTAAAGACCAGCTTAAACACATGACTCTCTAGCTTATTAGATATAACTTATTAGGAAGTTTATAATACTGTCATCTTTAAAGACAACTCAGAAGTATTATTACACTCAGCAGTTTACAAAACAGAAAGGGGAATCCAGGATTTTTCCCATCATAACCAGAGTATTGTCTGTCCTAGGATGGCATCAAGATGATCATCCACCTTGCCTGAGTGATATTGAAGGACCTTACTTACTGGGCCTTCCCCCTATTTTACTGTTACCCATTATTTCTCCTAAAATTGAGGCTGGGAAGTTATCAGGGAATTCTCATTATCCTAGAGAAGAAACAGATACAATTAAGCAGAAAATAGTTTCTTGGGAAAGTGAAAATTCTTGGTAAATAAATAAAATGTTAAGTCTAGTGGTGTCCTTATAGTTACAGGTACTCATCAGAAGATGACATCAACTCTCTAAGCAACTCCACATTGATCTGTTTAGCCAATAAAACTACATCACTCACTGAAACCTCACCTGAGATAGTGGGGAAAGGTAAGAATTAATATTAACAGTGAATATCATTTGAAACTTTGTGTATGTATTATATCTATACAAATTCCTATAAAATATATCAGCAAAAATTTGATTAAAAACAATAAACATTTGACCTTGACATACAGATATAATCATAGTGGAACATGTGATACTAATGAGCCTTTAGGAGTGTCTGAGGAGTAGCTAAGGACTGTTTCAGTGGGAAGTTGGGAAAGACCATTTGCAGTGAAAATAAAGCTACAAGAATTGACTGTAAATGTCTGTATTCCCAGAACACAGTAGTTGAAGCAGGAGGATTGTGGCGTTGAGGTAAACCTGAGCCTTATAATATGACCCTGTCTCAACAAACAACTCAAGCAAGCAAGAAAGCATAACTATGTAAAGAAGGGAGAGATGCTTCATGAAAAACACAACTACTCCAGTTGAAGATTTTTTAGAGTATTCTCATAAGACAATATAGATGTAACACTCTACCTGTTATATCAGATATGGAAAGATTAAAAGTAAAAGAATTGAGAAGTTAAATCTTTTTCATTTTTTGTATTGTTAAGAATGTGTAAATTAATCAGTTTCTGGAAGTCATTTTTTAACATCTATTAAACAAAAGAATACTTACCTAATTCTCTGTAATTCTATTGTTACTGATGAGCTTTAAGGAAATAATCAGTGAGATGCTTAAGACTTATTTATAATTATAGGCAAGAAATCTCTTTGTGACAGAGAAAAATCTGAAGTATTTTATAATTACAAATATAAAATTGGGGACTGAAAAGATGGCTCAGCAGTTAAGAGCACTGGTTCAATTCTCAGGAGCTACATGGCATCTCACAACCAGGTATAACCAGAGTTCCAGGAGATCCAACACCCTCTTCTGGTCTCTGAGAATACTGCATGCCTGTGGTGTGCATACACCCATGCAGGCAAAATATATGTTTGTTATATATTATATAACAAGAATGAAGGATATATTTAGATATGGTTGTTCCTCACAACATTATTAAAATCCTGACACAAGATACAACAAAGGGCAAATAAACAGGAAAGTTGTCCAAGCACAGTGCTAGCTATAAAAGTGATATATACAAACTAGATACTTAATTCTGTATTGTATATAAGAAATACATATATTTTATGTATGCCCAAAATATGGAAGACAAATAACAAACATTAAAATGGTTTTCTTTGTGTAGAGAGATTTCAGATCATGTTGCTTTCTGCATGGTTTTTGTTTTTCCTTTGTGTCTTTTTTTATTTTCAAACTTTGCAGATTGAACAGGAATCACTTAAAATTAAAAACAGAAAGCAAGAGCAAGTAAGTGGAACATCCCAGGAATAATTAAAGATCTGAATTTGTAGAGTTCTGGGTGTTGGTACTGCAGTCAATGTTTAAAATAAAACAGTTTTTTTTTTTGTCTACCCAGGTTGTGAAAAGGGATCCAAGTCACACATGTGGATTTATGTGTTGATGGGGAACATGCTTCGTGGGATAGGAGAAACACCAATAGTGCCCCTGGGAATTTCCTATATTGATGACTTTGCAAAAGAAGGGCACTCCTCTATGTACTTAGGTAATGTACAGAACATATGAAGCTCAGTTCTTAATTTCTCTGAGTCTCACCTGGAAATGATAGCATTACTAAGTCATTTCTTCTTTAGCTCTTTTCTTTTCCTCTAAAGGAGCAGCCAGTGCTCTTCACCATCTTGCTATCTTTTCAGCTCCCTAAGTAAATTCATATTCCTAGAAAGCATTTGGAGAAAAGCATTGTGTAACATTATACATTAAAACCTACTGTATAAAAAACAAACGCTTACAGGTTCAAAGTGGACAAAATCCCAGTATGGAGACAGGAGGTGGGAATAAAGTTCCATCACTAGTTAAAGGTCTATTAGTAGTTGGTGGCTACTGGAAGAGGGAGAGTGAGTTTTCTTTAGGAATGTGGTCTGTGGTAGGATGACCATGCTCTGGAGAAGGCCACACCCAATAACATACAGTGGCACAAGCTATAGTTGAGATTTACAAAAGGAGAAGGCACAAATTTGAGTGGGTAAGGGAGCAGGAATGGGTCTGGGGTGAGTAGAAGAAGCAGTGAATATGATCAAATATTTTTGGATGAGAAAAAATTACTCTTATGTACTTGGACTCTGATTGAATGCTTTTGAAATGTTTGCAGGTATTCTGAATACAGTAGCAATGATTGGTCCAATCATTGGCTTTATCATGTCATCTGTGTTTGCTCGGATGTATGTAGACATTGGATTCGTAGACCTGAGTAAGTAGAATCAGTAAGGCAGCCAGGAGAGTGTCTTTCAAATACAGGCCACCATGTCTCCAAGTTACTGGTTTAACTCTTTTAATAGTCTCTTGATTTTATGTTTTATAAATTATAAATGGAGAGGATGTATTCATATTTAAAACAAAATTTATTCCTTTCCTATGCAAAGCTACTGCAAGTCAGCATAAACTAGGACATTTGGAACAATCTCATTTTAGACAACTAGATCCAAAATAAGCTGGTTACACAGTCAAATAAGGTGCATTTTCACTTTGTGCTGGATTGGATTTAAAAACACAGGAATTACAGACTGAAGCTTCAGGAAGTTGCTGTGAGACTGTGGGGCTTGGGGATGGCTGGAGGGGATTGAGCATCTCCACCATGTGTCTTGGCTTGATGCTTTCCCTGATCCTGACAAAGGGTTTGGCATATAGTCTCCTTCAATTGGAGGATGAAGGAACTCACAGTAGGTGATCCCTATGGCATTTTCTCCCCTCAAAGCAAGCTTTCCTTCATAATTCAGAGAAACTGGCCAAAGTGTGGAAACTATCAACTTCAAACCCTCCTTCCAATATACATCACATCTATCTTCATCACATCTCTCATCTTTTTTCCACAAAAGTCAGTAAAAATCATATCCACCTTCAGCTCATATTTGTAGACCCACCCTAGGGATTCAATTTCATCATCCTGCATCTTCAAGATCTTGTTCCATCACTCTTTCACCACGTCCCTCCCTGGCTGTCTTCAGCCCTCTACCTCCACTTTGTTCTTATCATAAAGCATTCTCCAGTCTATGCAGTCTTCTCACATATATGATGTTTTGATGTTCTCAAGCAACTTTTTAGCTGGTTTTCTGTTTACCATTCTCTCTATAGTCAAGTATTTTGAAAAATAAAAATCTGATTTTGGAAGATTTCTCACTTCTCTTCCCCCATCCACTTCTCAGCTGTAATCTGATTTCTCTGGCTCACAAGACAGAATCAGCGAACATTTTTTTTTAAACAATATGCTCACTTTTTCTATTTTTAGATGTTTAAATAAACATCTAAAATTCAACCTGGCAAATACTTTGCTTTCAACCCTTTCTTAAATCTTACATTGTTTCTCATAGTCTATCTCTTTATGAATATCTTAAACTTAATTATGTTATTGACTGAATCATCACATAATCTTCCTTCCTATTGACCTGACTCCAGTGTTGGCCATTCTCATTCATCAAACGTCCAGAATAATCCTTCTAAACAAATCTGATCCATAACTGTGAACCTATAGTGATTTCAGACCAGACTTCACTACAACAGCCAGGCTCTCCAGAACTGGACACATAGCTCTTTGTGATCATTTTTATCTGTATAATTTGACTCTCTTTCTTCTTCCCCACTCTTCTCTCATTGATACTCTTTGCAGTAACCATGACTACTGTTCGTGAGACTCTCAAAAGACTTTTTTTTTCATTTTTCTTTATTAAGAAATTTTCTACTCACTCTACATACCACCCACAGATCCCACCTACTCCCTCCTCCCATCCACCATCCCTCTCTCCCAAGCCACCCCACATCCCCACATCTCCCAAATCAAGGTCTCCCATGGGGAGTCAGCAGAGCCTGGCACACTGAGCCTAGGCAGGTCCAAGCCTCTTCCCACTGCACCCAGGCTGTGCAAGGCATCACACCACAGGCACCGGATTCGGTTCAAAAGACTCTTTAATCTCACTCTCCAGTGGAGAGTTCTGTTCCACTTTCCATAAGCGTAGTCCTGAGAGTCTCATTCAGGCTATGGTTCCACTTCAGAGATGCCTCTCTTCACTAGCTCCCTGCTGGCTCAGAGCCCACCAAATGTGTAATAATCTCTTTAGACACCACAGGAGGGAATCTGTCTAAATAGAGAAGTGCTTGCTGTATAAACAAATCTTATTTCCTATTTCATCAGCACTCTAAGGACTTCAAAGTATTTATTTCCGGAGAAGAGTTGACATCATAGTAGGCCAAGAGAAGGTCCAAGCTCTCACTTGTCTTCAACACAAACCCTTAATGAAACCACTTCTTCTCATTCACTTCCAAGTTAATCCTTGTTTTCAAAACTCATACAGAGCTGGGCAAGAGTTTTTTGGTGATAGTTGGAAAATTTTTGGCTATAGTTAGAAATAATTATCTGCGTTGTATTAGAATTCTTGGGAATTTGATGGCTACAAATGAATGTTCAGATTGTTCTGCATCTCCTTTTATTCAGTAATGAGTGAAATACATTTTATGTTTTTTGCTTCTGTGGTTAACTCTTGATACACTAAAAGTGAGACTGTTTTCATAATCTTGTTTCCTGACAGTCCTTTGGTAGTATAGAAAGCTGATTTTTGATATAACTTTGTATCCAAAAACTTCACATTGAAAATTAGACCACATCTAGCATGATCCTGAGTAATGTTGCTTCTTGGTGTCAGTGCCAGTGTGGTGCTGGCCATGTTGAGTGAGTCTGGGAGTGTTTCCTCATGAGTACTTAGAGAGGTTTTGAGAAGGACTGGAGTTAAGTCTTTTTCAGAGCTAGAGTACTCCAGTGAAGCCATGGGTCCCTGGGCTTTTCTCTATGTCCTATAGCATTGCTCCAGTGTTCTCACTAGCCACAGGCATGTTCAGGATTTCCACCAACTCATGATCCAGTTTTTGCAAGTTGTATGTCTTTAGGAATTTCCTCATCTTTTAATGATCATCAATTGTGGTGGTTTGAAAATAAATGCCCCCCATATGCCCATAAGTAGTGGCACTGTTAGGAGTTGTGGCCTTGTTGGAGCAGGTCTGGCTTTGTTGGAGGAAGTGCATCAGTAGGCCTTGAGGTCTCAGAAGCTCAAAACCAGGCCTAGTGTCTCACAGTCATTTTTCCTGCTGCCTGCTGATCAGGATGTAGAGCTCTCTGCTCCTTCTCCAGCACCATGTCTGCCTGAGTGCTGCCATGCTTCACACCATGATGATAATGGACTAAATCTCTGAAACTGTAAGCCAGCACCAATTAAATGTTTTCCTTTATAAGAGTTGCAGTGGTCATGGTGTCTCTTTACAGCAATAAAACTCTGAGACATCATCTGACTGACATTCATTATTTATAGGAGTGCCAGCTATAGACAGTGCTAGCATTAACCTGTCATCCCTCTTGACACTGCAAAAAAAAAAAAAAAAAAAAAAAAAAAAACCAATTGAAATAACCTGGGCAAAGAATGTCTTATGTTTCTAGTCCATCTTTTTGGGGGTACTTTTAAATGCAGATTTTTCACTGTTTTTCATTCTCATCACTTTCTCTGCTATTGGTAGGGCTGGCTGTATATAATAAAACTAGAAATAGAAGAATGGAGCTTTCCCATTTCTTGGAAACAATGTTAAACTTCTCTCTGGTGCTATCCAGACCTCAGTAGATTGTACCAACCACTGTTTTCAGATGATGATGAATACTCATGCCCTGCCCTTGTTTTCAAGTTATCTTTGAGATTAAATACTTAGTGTTCACAATTCTCCTGTTACAACTGAGTCTGTATGGTGGTAAGCTATAATACTTTGACTGGTTCCTGGCAACAAAAATTCTAAGATGGTTCTGAGAGGACCAGGTGGCCAAACCAGGGCTATGACAGGCCCCCAGTAGCCCTGACACAGACCAGGCTTTAGTTTCAGTTCACTAGAGCAGGCTGGAGCTGAGCAAGCAATTCTCAGGAAAACCACAACTTAGGGGCAACCAATCAGCAGATGCTCCCCAGCCTTCTGCTGGCTCAGCAGGCATCTCAATGGCCCTTTTGCTGGCTCAGTATATGCCCCCTCCCCTGCCTTCTACTATCTAAAGATAGCTTTTCCTACCCTCCTGTCAACAAGCCCCTAACCATTAGACCCCACCCACCCACCAACAGACCCCTAGCCATTACAACCTCCCACCAATAAGCTCCCAGACTAATCTTTCCTCCACCAATCAGCAACAGATTAATTCCTCCTCCCTGGAATTCCGCTAACTCCACTTAAAAGGAGCTTGTGACCTCCCTTCAGGTCACTATTTGCCACCCCAACCTGTTGGAAACAATAAATGCTCTTGCTAAATTGCATATGTGACTCTTGGTCTTTCTTGGGCGCTTCTCTCAGACCCTAACAGTTCTAAGTTGAAAAAAATACTAAAAAAAAAAAAAAAAAAAAAAAAAAGAAGAAGAAGATTGCATTTTAGGATTGATAAAATATAGTTTGGTTTCTTCATCTGTGGATGCTAGCAGTCATTATCAATATTTTCTTTTGGAATGATTTCTGACTGGCCTGTTCTAATTCATTCCAGGAAGTATCCGAATAACTCCTAAGGATGCTCGTTGGGTTGGTGCCTGGTGGCTCAGTTTCATGGTGTCTGGACTATTATCCATTATTTCTTCTATACCCTTCTTTTTTCTACCCCAAATTCCAAAGACAATACAGAAGGAAAGGAAAAATTCAGCATCTCCGAATGTATTCAGAACAGATGAAGAAAAGAATAACATGACTAATTTGACCAACCAGGAGAAAAAAGCTCCTGTCAACATGACAGGTAAGGATTTCACAATTAGTCAATGTGAAGATGTTAATCCCACTGAAAGTGAAGAATACTTGAGAACAATATGACCAAATCATCTATCTAGCTTTCTTCGGCACTAAACTTTGCTTAACTCCTTCTAAATTTCCTATTAAAATTAATATTTTCTGTCTTAGTTACTTTTCTATTGCTGCGAATAGACACCATGACCAAGGCAACTTATAAAAGAAAGAATTTAATTTGGGGACTCATGGTTCCAGAGGACAGAGTCCATGACCATCATAGCAGGGAACATGGCAGTGAGCAGTCAGGCATGATTCTAGGACAGTAGCTAAGAACTTATATCTTGATCCACAAGCATGAGGCAGAGAGAGAGAGAGAGAGAGAGAGAGAGAGAGAGAGAGAGAGAGAGAGAGAGAGAGAGAGCTGTGAATGGCATGGGCCTTGGACACCTCAAAGTCCACCCCTGGTGATACACTTCCTTTCAACAAGGCCATGCCCTCAGTCCTTCCCAAACAGTTCCACCAACTGTAAATCAAGTTTTCAGACATGAATCTATAGAGGTCATTCTTATTCAAATCATCATGTTCCTAATTATGAACAAAATGAATAGATTTTATTTGTGGCTTTCAGCATGAAGAAAAGAAGGTTAGGGATATGGCTCAGTTCACAGAAGCTTTTGCTATGTAAGCATAAGGACCTGAGCTAGAATCCCCAACATCCATATATAGAGCCAGGTGTAGCTGGGTGGGCCTATAAGCCCATGATAGTGGGGACATGGTAGAATCAAGAGGATTACTTGGGCTCCTGAGTCATTATCCTATATCCAGCTTCAGTGAGAGACCTTGCCTCAAAGGAATATGGTGGGAAGTGATAGAGCAAGATGCTCACTCATTGTTCTTCTCTGGCCTCTGTGAGCACAGAGCAGACAATAGTCATGCCTATCTGTGTGCAAGTGTGTGTGCATGTGTACATGTGTGTGTATGCACATGTACTGTCATATACCACACACACACACCAAATAAATAAAACAATCACATAAACAATCATGTTCATTGTTTTTTGTTGCTGCTGTTTGTTTGTTTGTTTTGTTTTCTGAGACAGGTTTCTCTGTGTAACAGCCCTGGCTGTCCTAGAACTCTCTCTGTAGATCAGAGTGGGCTTCAACTCTCAGAGATCCACCTGCCTCTGCTTCCTAAGTACTGGGATTAAAGGTATGCACAAGAAGGTATATAATTCTTTCAAATGTTTTTAAACAAGAAGGTATGTATTCTTTCAAATATTTTGTCTATCTGTCTATCTATCTATCTATCTATCTATCTATCTATCTATCTACTTATCTATCTGCCTATTTTGGTGTTAGGGATCAAATTCCAGGGCTTTGCACATACTAGCTAAGTATTCTACCACTGAACTGTATATACAATATCTTTATTTCAAAATTTAGTATAAAGCATCAGTGAGAGTTCAAAGAGTTAAAATATTTAATTAATTCATTAATTCCACAAGTGATGCCAACCCTTTATGGCAAGACATTTGGCTTCTTTCTCCAGGAATCTATGATTCAGTCTAGAAAGTTACTTGAAGCCGGGCGGTGGTGGCGCACGCCTTTAATCCCAGCACTCGGGAGGCAGAGGCAGGCGGATCTCTGTGAGTTCGAGGCCAGCCTGGTCTACAGCGCGAGATCCAGGAAAGGCGCAAAGCTACGCAGAGAAACCCTGTCTCGAAAAACCAAAAAAAAAAAAAAAAAAGAAAGTTACTTGGCACTGAGAATTATACAGACAACTATAACAATCAGCTTTAAATAATGTGCTCAGGTTAAACTCACCTATTTTTATATAGATGCCTGGATTAAAGAGAAGATATCTCAGAGAAGTTTCTCTCTAGGTATTTAGAGTAAGATTATTATTTTTCCAGGTAATTGTACTGAAAAATTTGCCTGCCAGAGTATTCAAAAGTGAACTGAAAACATCAGAGTAGTCAAAGTAGTTGGCATCCATAATTTACCTAGGATTCTTTCCTATTTGATGGTTCTTTTCCTTTCACATATAATTTCTGAGGGTTAATGGAGTGAAACAGAGAAGACATAGTCAGAATGGTGATTCAGAGACATGTAGATAAAAGTATCCTAGACAATAAAACTTTGACAACAGTTTTCAGATTGGAGGAAAGAGAGGGGAAAGACACAGGGAGGACAGAAGAGAGGAGAGCAAATGAGAACAAAGTATAATGAAAACATATTGATGGAAATTCTGTAATGAAAGCCATTTCTCTGAATTCTAATCTGAAATTTTAATTTAAAATTGGAGGAATCAGAAGGAATTGGTAAAATAGCAAAAACAAAAAACCAAAACCAAAAACAAATTAAAGCCAGTTATAGTGGTTCTGGTGATCATGAGTTCAATGTTAGCCTGAACTTTGAGACCAAGGTGAGACCTATCTCAATCCCCCCCAAAAAAACCCTAAATCAGTGGAATACTTACTTTGTGATGGCTTATGTTGATTGCTAATTTACCAGGACCCAGAATCACCCAGAAGGCAAGCCCCTGTGCATGTCTGTGAGGGATTGTTGAGATTAGGTTAACAGAGACAGGAAGATCCCATTCCAACTGTGGATAGCACCATTCAATGGGCTGGGGTTTTAAACTGAACAAAAAGGAGAAAGCAAGCTGAGTACTCATCCCTCTGCTTCCTGACTTTGGATGCAGTATGGTGAGCTACCTTAACTCTTGTCATCATGACTTCCCCATGGTGATGTTGTATACCCTTAAACGGAGAGCCACAATACACCCTTTCTACCTTTTTTTTTTTTTTTTTTTTGGTTTTTCGAGACAGGGTTTCTCTGTGTAGCTTTGCGCCTTTCCTGGAACTCGCTTTGGAGACCAGGCTGGCCTCGAACTCACAGAGATCCGCCTGGCTCTGCCTCCCGAGTGCTGGGATTAAAGGCGTGCGCCACCACCGCCCGGCACCCTTTCTATCTTGAGTTGCTTTTAACAGGGTATTTTGTCACAACAACAATACAAGTAACTGTGACAAAACCATAACCACTTGGCAACCTTTTCAAGTTGACTTTGGAATCAAGAACAAGTTCTCAGATCTGTCCCAAGACCTTCCTCCTCCTAGTTCTTTCACTTCTACATTTGATTGATTTCTTCTCTCCATCAGTCCAACCCAAGAACAATTCTCTGCTTGAGCCAATTCTGCACATTGGCTTATAATAGAGGATCATTCAATTTTCACCAAGATTAGTAGCTTTATACTGACCATGACATGAGAATTAACACCATTTTTAAACTATGAAAATTGGGAAATACTAGAGAACAGAGTTTTATTGATTTTTCAAAAGTAGTTAGAAACCAGAGACCATGGTATTGTTTTGTTTTTATTCCTGGTACTAGAATTTAACTCAGATCTTTGTGCTTGCTAGGCAAGGGTTCTATAGCCCCAAGGTCTTGAAACTTAGCAGAGATGTTAAAAATAGCATGTCATGGGGCTGCTCAGATAGATCAATAACTAAAAGCACTTACTTCTCTTGCAGAGGAACCAAGTTAGGTTCCCAGCACCCTCATTGTGGTTCATAACTGTCTGTAACTCTAGCTCTGGAGGCTCCAATGCCCTTTCATACATAAACACTCATAAATACACATATACAAAAATGTTTTTTTCTTTAAAGTATATCAAGAAAATTTCAACCAGGTGTAGTGGCACATGGCTCAAATCGCAGCACATAGAGGGCATAAGTGAGTTTCTTAGTGTTTCTGTTTTAATGTGGCCTGGGACTAATTACTATCCTCTACTCCTTTTTGTTTTATCCAATGGTCAGTAGCTTAAATGCCACCATATTTTCTGGGGCAGCATCTTATGGAAAAGCTGCATTCCAGGGAACAAAGTGTTGGAATCCTCATCGTAAATTCATGCTTACAATTTTTGAACATCAGTGTTTTTATTCCTGTGGCCACAGATTATTTAAATTTCTGTTTAACAAATTGCTTCATTGACATAAAAATCACATTATTACATTCTGATGAATAGGAACCATCACATACAAGATTCATATTTCAGAATATTTCCTGGTACCCAATTCAAAACCAAATATTTGTTGAATGAACAGGTAAGTGGATTGATAGCTATGAAAGTCTAAGAGTGTGATGTACTGTCAAGTAGCCATTGAACAAAGCAAATCACAAAATAGAAGAGGCAAAAAATTAATTATGATGAAAATAATTAACCAAATACATAATATAAATATGCAAATTATTGAAGAAATAGACTGAAAAATCTGTTTAGAGCAAGATTTAAGAGCACTCTCTAACTTTCTGTTCTGTGTATTTATAATTTTAACTCACACATAAAATAAGTAGATTAGGATGTAAGGAATATTTAAGTTGTATTACAATGTTTATTTCACTCTTGTCATTTCAAGGTTTTCTATGGTCTCTGAAAAGCATCCTTACCAACCATCTGTATATTATATTTGTGGCATTAACATTGCTACAAATCAGCAGCTTTATTGGCTCCTTTACTTATGTCTTCAAGTTTGTAGAGCAACAATTCGGCCAGTCAGCATCCGAGGCCAACTTTGTACTAGGTAAGGCAGACTATTTCCTAGTTTGCTTCATAGATGATGTATAAATTGATGACATGACTGACTGCTCCATGGTATAGTTAAGCAGAAGATTTTTGTAGATATGGGAGAGAATAGCCAAAGACATCTGGAAGAGTCCAGAGCACAGAGAGAAAGAAGTAGATTGAATATGGCCAGCTAACTGGACCTGGTCAGGGCTGTCTATGGAGAGGTGAAGATGCCAGGGGATAAAGAATAGAGAAAACATGGTGAGAGAAACAGGGCACAACATAGAGAGGGGGAGACAGAAAAAGAGGGGGGAATAGGGAGAGAGAGAGAGCAGGAGGAGGAGGAGGAGGAAGGAAGCAGAGGATGGGTGAGAACATATCAAAAATAAGGAGCATGAGTAGCTTGGAGAGCACAGACTACGAGCCAGAGGAAGTTTAGGGTAGGAGATGAGGTGAAAAGGTCAAGGACTAACATGGACTTTGAAATGTATAATAGGTAGTTGTGATACCCAGAGAGCCTCCGGTCAGTATGAGCTTTGGTATGCTAGTAGATATCACATGTAGCCAGCCATATCTCTCTTCTGCCAGTGATAAGAGAAATGACTCCTCTTGGTAGAGGGGAACCAACTTCACAAGTTTCTAAGTTTTATCTAATCACCAGAAACCCTTCTATCATCCAGATTGAGTCCATTTCTGGATATTTAGACTGCCTTTTGGAGTTTGGGGAATTAGAGTTTTCTTTGGACCTGACACATGGTGCACTACTGAAGCTGGCCCCTGCACACCTGCACCCACGTCCACCCCACCCATGCACACACACACACATACATATACATAAATAAATAATGAAATAATTCCAGTCTTGTGGTGGTGCACACCTTTAATCCCAGCACTCGGGAGGCAGAGCCAGGTGGATCTCTGTGAGTTCGAGGCCAGCCTGGGCTACCAAGTGAGTCCCAGGAAAGGCGCAAAGCTACACAGAGAAACCCTGTCTCGAAAAACCAAAAAAAAAAAAAAAAAAAAAAAAAAAAAAAAAAAAAAAAAAGATTTTAGATGCTGAAGGTTAAATACATTGTCATTATTGATTTCTAGGGTGGGGTATCCCTCACAAAATTCACACGTTCAAAGGCGTCAACTGAGTTCTGTTACCAGGAAATGAGGCCCTTCTTTTTGGCAGGAAGACGTTATTTTTTATTTTTCCACATAGGGAATGGTCTTCCATCTTTATTCTGGTCATTCACGTCTACTCAAGAAGCAACAAAAATGAAGGGTTTCTGTAGACACACTGTATTTCATTTGTAAAGACAACAAATAAACCTTGCTTATGTAATGATTACATTTTCCTCTTATTTACAGGAGTTATAACTCTACCTACTATGGCAACTGGAATGTTTTTAGGAGGATATATCATTAAAAAATTCAAATTGACCCTGGTTGGAATTGCCAAGTTTGCATTTTTCACCTCTTCAGTAGCCTATGTGTTTCAGCTATTAAATTTTTCTCTAATCTGTGAAAACAAACCATTTGCTGGCCTAACCTTGACCTATGATGGGTTTGTATATATCATTTTACAAACAGAATGATGTGTTGACTGATTAGAAGACTGTGTGTGAGAAAAATAGGGCTGAAAAAAGTTTCTAATAAACTTTAGACAGTTGGTAAGAATTTAGTTGATAAGTAAGTTAATAAGAATTACAATTTATAAGTTTCCCAAACAATCACTTTTTGAGATCTCACAAAATCAGTTTTTTTTTAATTTTTTATTTTATAATTTAATTTAATTTTACATATCAGCCATGGATTCCCTTGTCCTCCCCACTCCCACAACCCCACCCTCTGACTTCCCCCAACACTCCCCCCATTCCCATCTCCTCCAGGGCAAAGACTCCCCTGGGGATTGAGTTCAACCCAGTAGATTCAGTCCAGGCAGGTCCAGTCCCCTCCTCCCAGGCTGAGTCAAGTGTCCCTGCATAAGCCCCAGGTTCCAAACAGCCAGATCATGCACTGAGGACAGGTCCTGGTTCCACTGTCTTGATGACACCCAAACAGATCAAGCTAATCAACTGTCTCACTTATCCAGAGGGCCTGATCCAGTTGGGGGCTCCTCATCTCTTGGTTCATAGTTCATGTGTTTTCATTCACATTTGGCTATTTGTCCCTGGTCTTTTTCCAATTTTGGTCTCAACAATTCTCGCTCATACAAACCCTCCTCTTTCTTGCCAATTGGACTCCTAGAGCTCCACCTAGGGCCTGGCTGTGGATCTCTGGATCCGGTTCCCTCAGTCATTGGATGAGGTTTCTAGCATGACAATTAGGGTGTTTGGCCATCCTATCACCAGAGTAGGTCAGTTCGGGCTTTCTCTCGACCATTTGCAGTAGTCTATTGTGGAGGTATCTTTGTGGATTTCTGGGGACCTCTCTAGCACTTTGCTTCTTTCTATTCTCACATGGTCTTCATTTATCATGGTCTCTTATTCCTTGTGTCCCCTCTCTGTTCTTGATCTGGTTGGGATCTCCCGCTCCCCTAAGCTCTCTTTCCCTCAACCCTTGACCTTCATTACCCCCACTCACATCCAGGTTGTTCATGTAGCTCTCATCCTTTTCTCTGTCATTGGGCAATCCCTGTGTTTTTTCTTGGGGTCCTGTTTTCTAGGTAGCCTCCCTGGAGTTGTGAGTAGCAGTCTAGTCATCTTTGTTTTGCATCTAGTATCCTCCTATGAGTGAGTACACATCATGTTTGTTTTTCTGAGTCTGGGTTACCTCACTCAGGATGTTTTTTTCTAGATCCATCCATTTGCCTTCAAACCTCATGATGTCATTGTTTTTCTCTGCTGAGTAGTATTCCATTGTGTATATGTACCACCTTTTATTTATCCATTCTTCAGTTGAAGAGCATCTAGGTTGTTTCCAGGTTCTGGCTATTACAAACAATGCTGATATGAACATAGCTGAGCAAGTGCCCTTGTGGTATGATTGAGCATTCCTTGGGTATATGCCCAAGAGTGGTATAGCTGGATCTTGGGGGAGATTGATTCCCAATTTTCTAAGAAAGTGCCATATTGATTTCCAAAGTGGTTGTACAAGCTTGCATTCCCACCAGCAGTGGAGAAGAGTTCCCCTAGCTCCACATCCTCTCCAGCATAAGCTGTCTTCAGTGTTTTTGATCTTAGTCATTCTGACAGGTGTAAGGTGGTATCTCAGAGTCGTTTTGATTTGCATTTCCCTGATGATTAGGGATGTTGAGCAATTCCTTAAATGTCTTTCAGCCATTTGAGCTTTCTCTGTTGAGAATTCTCTGTTTAGTTCTATAGCCCATTTCTTAATTGGAGTGTTGGGAATTTTGATGTCTAATTTCTTGAGTTCTTTATATATTCTGGATATCAGCCCTCTGTCAGATTTGGGGTTGGTGAAGAAATTTTCCCACTCTGTAGGCTGTCGCTATGCCTTGTTGACCGTATCCTTTGCTCTACAAAAGCTTCTCAGTTTCAAGAGGTCCCATTGATTGATTGTTTCCCTCAGTGTCTATGCTACTGCTGTTATATTTAAGAAGTTATCTCCTATGCCAATGTGTTCAAGAGTACTTCCTACTTTCTCTTCTATCAGGTTCAGAGTAACTGGATTTATGTTGAGGTTTTGATCCACTTATGCACAGTGACAGATATGGAACTATTTGCAGTCTTCTGCACATTGATATCCAGTTACGCCAGCACCATTTGTTGAAGATGCTTTCTTTTTTCCATTGTACAGTTTTGACTTCTTTGTCAAAATTTATATGTTCATAAGTGTGCGGATTAATGTCAGGGTCTTCAATTCAATTCCATTGGTCCACATGTCGGTTTTTATGCCAGTACCAAGCTGTTTTTATTACTGTAGCTCTATAGTAGAGCTTGAGGTCAGGGATCATGATGCCTCCAGAGGTTGTTTTATTGTACAGAATTCTTTTGACTATCCTGAGTTTTTTGTTTTTCCATATGAAGTTGAGTATTATTCTTTCCAGGTCTTTGAAGAATTATGTGGGTATTTTGATGGGGATTGCATTGAATCTGCAGATTGCTTTTGGTAAGATTGCCATTTTTGCTATGTCAATCCTGCCTATCCATGAGCATGGGAGATCCTTCCATTTTCTGACATCTTCTTCAATTTCTTTTTTCAGGGACTTAAAGTTCTTGTCATATAGGTCTTTCACTTGCTTGGTTAGTGTTACCCCAAGGTATTTTATATCATTTGTGGCTATTATAAAGGGTGATGTATCTCTGATTTCCTTCTCAGCCTGTTTGTCAATTGTATATAGGAGGGCTACTGATTTTTTGAGTTGATCTTGTATCCTGCTATGTTGCTGAAGGTGTTTATAAGCTGTATCAGTTCCTTGGTTGAATCTTTGGGGTCACTCAAATATACTATCATGTCACCTGCAAATAGGGAAAGCTTGACTTCTTCCTTTCCAATTTGTATCCCCTTAATCTCCTTATGTTGTCTTATTGCTCTGGCAAGTACTATATTGAATAAGTATGTGGAGAGTGAGCAGCCTTGCCTCATTCCTGATTTTAGTGGAATCGCTTTGAGTTTCTCTCCATTTAATTTGATGTTGGCTGTTGGCTTGCTGTAAATTGCCTTTATTATGTTTAGGTATGTTCCCTGTATTCCTGATCACTCCAAGACCTTTGTCATGAAGGGGTGTTGGATTTTGTCAAATACCTTTTCTGCATCTAGTGAGATGATCATGTGGTTTTTTTTATTTGAGTTTGTTTATATGGTGTATTACATCAATGGACTTTCATATGAAGCCTACTTGATCATGGTAGATAATTGTTTTGATGTGTTCTTTGAGTTTGTTTGCCAGTATTTCATTGAGTTTTTTACATCAATGTTCATGGGGGAGGTTGGTCTGTAGTTCTCTTTCTTTGTTGCATCTTTGTTTTGGTTTAGGAATCAGGGTAATTGTAGCCTCATAGAAGGAGTTTGGTAATGTTCCTCTGTTTTTATTGTGTGGAACAATTTAAAGAGTGTTGGTATTAACTCTTCTTTGAAGATCTGATAGAATTCTGTGCTGAAACCATCTGGTCCTGGGCTTTTTTTGGTTGGGAGACTTTTAATGACTGATTCTATTTACTTAGGGGTTATTGGACTATTTAAATAGTTTATCTGGTCTTGATTTAACTTAAGTATGTGGTACCTATCCAGAAAAATATCCATTTCTTTTAGATTTTCCAGTTTTGTGGAGTAGAGGTTTTTGAAATATGACCTGATGATTCTCTGGATTTCCTCATTTCTGTTGTTATGTTCCCCTTTTCATTTCTGATTTTGTTAATTTGGATGTGCTCTCTCTCTGTCTTTTGGTTAGTTTGGATAAGGGCTTGTCTATCTTGTTGATTTTCTCAAAGAACCAACTCTTTCTTTCATTAATTTTTTGTATTGTTCTCTTTGTTTCTATTTTATTGATTTCAGCTCTCAATTTGATAATTTCCTGGCATCTATTCTTCCTGGGAGACTTTGCTTCTTCTTGTTCTAGAGCTTTCATGTGTGCTGTTAAGTCACAAGTGTGAGATTTCTCCAACTTTATGTGGGCATTTAGTGCTACAAATTTCCCTCGTAGCACTGCTTTCATAGTGTCCCATAAGTTTGGCTATGTGGTGTCTTCATTTTTGTTGATCTCTAAGGAGTCTTTAATTTCTTTATTTTTTCCTTTACCCATTGGTGATTCAGTTGAGCATTATTCAGTTTCCGTGAGATTGTAGGTTTTCTGTAGTTTTTGTTGTTTTTGAAATCTAACTTTAAACCATGGTGGTCTGATAGAATGCAGGAGGTTATTCCAATTGTTTTGTATTTGTTGAGATTTGCTTTGTCACCAAGTATGTGGTTGATTTTAGAGAAGGTTCCATGGGGTGCTGAGAAGAAGGTATATTCTTTTTTGTTAGGATGGAATGTTCTGTAGATATCGATTAAGTCCATTTGAGTCATAACATCAGTTAAGTCCTTTATTTCTCTGTTAAGTTTGGATTTGGGAGATCTGTCCATTGGTGAAAGTGGGGTGTTGAAGTCTCCCACTATTAATGTGTGGGGTTTTATATGTGGTTTAAGCTTTAGTAATGTTTCTTTTACATATGTGGGTGCCCTTGTATTTGGGGCATAAATGTTCAGAATTGAAACTTCATCTTGGTGGATCTTTCCTGTGATGAGTATGTAATGCCTTTCTTGATCTCTTTTCATTGATTTTAGTTTGAAGTCTATTTTTCTGAATATTAGGATGGCTACACCAGCTTGCTTCTTAAGACCATTGATTAGAAAATCTTTTCCCAGCCTTTTATTTTTAGGTAGTGTCTATCTTTGAATTTGAGTTGTGTTTCTTGTATGCAGCAGAAAGATGGGTCCTGCTTTCATATCCATTCTGTAAGCCTGTGTCTTTTTATAGGTGAATTAAGTCCATTGATATTAAGGGATATTAATGACCAATGATTGTTTGTTCCTGTTATTTTTTGGTGGTAGTGTGTGTGTACTTCTCTTCTTTGGGGTTTACTGCTGTGGCATTATCTATTGCCTGTGTTTTCGAGGTTATATCTGACTTCCTTAGGCTGGAATGTTCCTTCTAGTGCTTACTGTAGGGCTGGGTTTGTGAATAAGTATTGTTTAAATCTGGCTTTGTCTTGGAATGTCTTGTTCACTCTGTCTATGATGATTGAAAATTTTGCTGGGTATATTAGTCTAGGCTGGCATCCATGGTCTCTTAGTGTCTGCTTTACGTCTGTCCAGGTCCTTCTGGCTTTCAAAGTCTCCATTGAGAAATTGGATGTTATTCTAATGGGTTTGCCCTTATAAGTCACTGACCTTTTTCCTTTGCTGCTCTGCTGCGGGCTGCAGGAATATATTATAAGAACTCAGCTGGTTATGGCAAAGTCACTAACTGGAGGGATCAGGGAATTCCTCCAGAGGAAGCCAAATCCCAAGGAGTTTTTGGTGTTACTTGGCTTGTTATATATCAGCTGTATTCTGTTATGAAAGTCATGTGTGCCTTCATAGTTTTCCCAATTGACTTTTCCCCAAGAAGGGCTAACAGTGTGGACTGATCACTCTCTGGACATACACATTCCAGGTATTTGGTGAACAGTCTCAGGAAAGTCTTTCTCTGGAATCAGATATCTCCCTTGGCCACTTTCAAGGACTAGCAGTAATAACAGTCCACATGCAAGTCTCCTGATTTAAGGTAAATTCCACAAGGAGATACCACCTAGGTCAGGTGGACATTAAGTAATAGCTTTACACAATTCAGCTTGGACCCTCCTTTCTTACAGCCTTACTAACTTTATAGACTGCTAACTCCTTACCTAACCACTTCTAGGATTTAGATAACCTTCTGTGCTGACAGCTATGTTCAGCCAGAACCCCAGTTCAAGCCTCCCTGTAATTATCATCATTAGCAGCATCCGGCCAGGTCCATCCCCAGATGGAGGAGAATACTTTATCAGAGATACCTCTGTATTCTCTAAGAACAGACTTAACCATCCAGGCTACCTGTATGAGAAGGTCTGGCGGATATGCCAATTAAGCCTTACTTCCTCCTTTCCCAAACCTTACCTCCAGTTCCAGATCTCCCTTTAACTATCACCAGAGGCATCTAGCTGTACACAGGTTGCCTAGCGACTGAGCACACTTTCCCCCACCCTGCAGTAAAATGGCAGATAGCTTGGACAGATAGGAGCCACAGGAAAAAAGAAGACAGTTTTATTTTCTCCATTGACCTAGCAACTTATTGATTCTTAACATTTTCTAAGATTATAGTTGAGCACATAAGAGCCCTCTTCTTAGATATTACCCGAATTTAGCCTTTAGTTAATTCATTTCCCCATTGGTCACTTCCCTTTGGGGTTGCAAATGTTAATTAATGGTTATTGCCTCTCTATGTGATTCTTATCACCCCTCCGTTTGACCCTGGAAGCCTTGCTTTATATACCAGGACTTCCAGGGCATGGGGAGATGGAGAAGAGAAAAGAGAATGGAAGAACTAGACGGGTAAGAACTTGAGAGGAACAAACTGAGATGGAGAAGAATTAGATTGAAGGGCTAGAGGAGAGTACCAGAGGAACGAGATGGAAGATGAGGAAGAGTCAGATGGGGAAGTACTGGCTGGGTAAGAACAAGGTGAAAAGGACCTGGATGAGGCAGAATTAAGACAAGAGAATTAAGATAGAACTTAGAGGAAGCAGTAGATAAATATAGAGAGAAATCAGCCAAGAAAGGAGCTAGACATGAGAACAGAACTGAAGCTGGGTGTAAAGGATGTTATGCCAGAGGAATTAAAGCAAGTGGACTATAGAGCTCGGTGTGCTGAGATTCTATTTCCTGAAAATAGTCCTCGCCGTTAGTAGTTCTCGCTCCTGAGACCCTGGGATGTATAATATTAAGGCTGGTCCCTCTAATATTATACAAGACTGCTCTTAATATTCTTTCTTAATTCTGTACGTTGAGTTGTTTAATTATTATGTGGCGAGGGGACTTTTTTGGGGGGTCTAGTCTGTTTGGTGTTCTATAGGCTTCTTGTATCTTCATAGGCATTTCCTTCTTTAAGTTGGGAAAGTTTTCTTCTATGATCTTGTTGAATATATTTTCTGTGCCTTTGAGTCGGTATTCTTCTTCCTCTATCTCTATTATTCATAGGTTTGGTCTTTTCATGGTGTCCCAAATGTCTTGGAAATTTTGGGTCATGACTTTGTTGGCTTTAGTGTTTTCTTTGACTGATGAATCTATTTCTTCTACCGTATCTTCAACACCAGAGATCCTCTCTTCCATCTCTTGCATTCTGTTGGTTATACTTGCATCTGAAGTTCCTGTTCATTTACTCAGATTTTCTATTTCCAGCATTCCCTCTGTTTGTGTCTTCTTCATTTTTTCTATTCCCCTTTTCAGGTCTTGGACTGTTTCTTTCATTTGTTTCATTGCTTTTTCATGATTTTCTTTCAGGGATTTATTGTTTTCTTCTGCTTTATTTGTTCTTTCCTCTAGTTTTTTTTATAGCATTCTTACCATTTTTTGTTTGTCTTTTCTTCAATTTCACTTTTGATTTCTTCTATATAAGCCTCTAGCCTCTTCATGATGTTATTCATAAGGTTGCTTTCTTCTACTTCTTCCATTTTGTGATGTTCAGGTCTAGCTGTTGGAGGAGGGCTAGGTTCTGGTGATGCTGTATTGCTCTTCATTTTTTCGTATGTACTTCTGCCTTGAAGTCTGCCCCTCTCCCTGTGGATTCGTTCTTGGTCTTATCAGCACTCTTGTTCCAGACAGAGCTGACAGATTCAGGAAGCCTCTCTCTGGTCCAGATGGAAGCTCTCTTATCTAGATGGGAGCTCTGTGGTGGAATCACAAAATCAGTTTTTATTTCTGCTTTAAAGAAAAATTGGGTCACGGTGATCATGCCATTGTTAGAGTGTTTACAATGTGTCATGGCTATCTTTTCCCCCCTTGAACAGATAGTGTACACAGCCAGCAACACCTGGATGTTACCTTACTATCTCTCATGTACTCAAATTTAGAGTTTTAGACTCCAAAACTCTTGGTCTTCCCCACTGCATTTTGGCTTGTTGTGAGTGTAGATGTAGGCAACTTTCACAGCCACGGCTGTACAACCTTCATCTAGAGTTCATTTTAGCAGATACCTGTACAAGAGACCAGTTCCTCACCCTGAACTGGATTCCCATGCTCTATGAACTGGCAGTGCTACTGTCCCATTGGAATTAGACATCTGGATACTCCAAGTGTAACTGTACCTTTGCTGTCCCACTGTTACTACACAATGCAAAGTCATCCTGGCACTTTAGCTGACCTAAGGCCAGGGCCTGGAGTCTCCTGTGAAGCTTAACATCTACTGTAGCTAGCAGCTTAAGTAGGCTCACACAGCAGTAACACACACAGATTTCTCATCAGTTCTCTCTTGGGTAAGAGTTTTCAGGCTCACTAGCCTTTTCCTTCCGCTCCATTCCCTTCTTCTACCTTAACCTCATTTTCCTCTTCTCTGCACAGGCTTCCTCATTCCCTACATTTTCTCCCTTGCTATCCTTCTCTTCTTCCTCCTCCCCTTTCCCTTTTCTTCTATATTGTTTTCACTCTTTCCTTCCTTCCCTCTGTCTTTCTCACTCTATCTCTGTCTCTCTCTGACATGTTTCTCATCATATATCTCCAGAATGAATTCAGTGGACTCTCACATAGATGTACCACTTTCATATTGCAATTCAGACTGCAGTTGTGATAAAAACGAATGGGAACCCATCTGCGGGAAGAATGGAGTGACTTACATTTCACCTTGCCTGGCAGGATGCAAATATTCTAGTGGGGATAAGAACCCTAATAATACAGTGAGTATCTGTTTTCATTTTTTCACCTTTCCTTGCTCATAACTGCACTATAGATTTCACAGTTACTTATCAAATCTTTCTAGAGGTAAGATCTCTGAGAAAAAGATACAAAAATAGGTTCCTATATGATCTACTGTTGTAAAGGCTGGGAGATTAACAAATCTCCACATGAAGTCCTGCTTCATACACCATCAGACTTTTCTGTTCCTTGAATTCTAATATGAGATTATTCAACTTTCAATTTTTCATTTTCAAGAGTCAGAACATTGCCTTTTGGAACCTGGATATACTAAGGGATTTCTGAAAGTACTTTTCTGACTCAAGCATCTAACTGTCATCAGTGAGAATTACTTAAACCTCAGATGTTAAGGGAGAATCTTAAATCAGCACGCAGACAAAACATGCAATGTTCTACAGAATTTTATGAATCTAATTCCGGGCTCCCTTCCCTTCTGGCTCTCTGAGAATCAATGCTGACTTCACTCTTACCTGACTGTCCAGTTCTCATCTGTCAGCTCTGAATTCCCCAAAGCTAGTGCTTCTACCCAGATAATCTAGAATCCCTTTCATACCTGCCTAATATATCCCATACCATGCCACTTTGCTATTTATAATCAAGGCAATCCCTCACAGACACGTCCACAGGCCAATCTGATTTAGGCAGTTCTTTATTCATAGCTTTCATCCCTCCTGACTCTAGGCTGTGTCCAGTTGACAGTTAAAGCTAACTTATCCTGTGAACTATGAGTTATCCTCAGTCAACTGCTGACTCCCAAGCATGAAAATCATTTATGGTGTTGCACGTACTGCTAATCTATTCAAAATCTCAGAAAGTTAGGCAGTTATCTCCTTTTACCTTTCCCTAATTCAAACATTGGATACACAACCAGTTATGATTTAATGTTTTTGAGACAGATCTTGGTATGTAGCCAAGGCTACCCTTGCACACAGAATTCTCTTGCCGCAGCTTCTTAAGTTCTGGAATTATTGACATGCACTGCCACATTTGTCAGGATCCTTGATTCCCATACCCCCTGTGTGGCTCAACCCATTTGTGCAGGTGGCTCTCATTTCAGAATTTGGTCCCACTGAAACTGTCAAATGCTATAGTCTCTGGGCAACCTTTCCTCAAGGAATGTGGCTGACACACAGCAGACATTTTAAGTGGAGTAAGTGAATGTAATATAGAACATCAAAGTCAGAGAAAGACAATGATGGAAAAGAACTTGTCTGAATGAGGAAACTATGCACAGTTTAAAACACTATTTCCTTCAATTCTTTTATAACTTTGACATTGGAGATGAATTATTAGGAGCAAATTAAATGCTCTTGTCCAGAAATAAATATGGAGAATTATGTTGTCTTTCAGTTACTAAACAACTGTGTTTTTGTAGAAGTTTTTAAACTATAAACACTTTTTAAAAATGGAATAAACTTTTAAAAATATAATGGTACATATTTAATGAACTTTCATGTTTTGCAAACACATTCTGTAACATTTCAAATCTGTCTTTTAGGTATTCTATAACTGCAGTTGTATCAGAGACTCTGGTTTCCAGAACAGCAATCATTCAGCCCATTTGGGTGAATGCCCAAGAGACAAGTGCAAAACCAACTACTACTTTTATATAACTTTTCAAGTCTTTAATTCTTTCTCTGTTGCAATGGGGAGCACCTCTTTTATCTTGATTCTGATAAAGTGAGTATACTTTGTTTTTTGTGCATGTTTGAGTATTTCTGTGTGGGGTGCACATGTGAGAGCTGACACATGTGTGGGTGCCCATTTACAGCTCAGATAATTATCTTTGACATCAGTCAAGTACCTGCTACTCCAACCATGGAAGTCAGGTCAGCTGCCTCTAATTTTCAAAAACTTGCTGGTCACCTCTCCGATCACAGATGGGAATGCAGAGAAGTTCTGGGGACCCAAACTCAGATCCTTACATTTATAAGGCAAGAGATTTAATGACTGAGCTTCCTCCCAGTCTGATTATGAATTTTTAAGGCATCTATATTAGTCATGTATATTAGACTATAAATATATTTGCTGATGTCTACTGTCTTATATTTAGGACATAAGCTCATATGTTGAACCATTTTAATTATCCAAGAGCACATATTCTCATGATTATTTTATTAGTTCAACCCTAAAATAGTAACTTTGTGTATGCTTCTTTCATTAGTAAATCTAGGTTCCATGAACTCTCATCTTGCTGAGACACTTAAAATATAGAATTATTGGCAATTTTCTCAATTGCAAGAGAATTTTTGATTCTCTCTTTGATTTTACAAGAACTTTTGTGGTCAGTTCCATTCTGTCTTGAGGATTGTTTAGTGATCTTAATAAAAGAAAAACTTTTTGGAAATCTGATAAACTTAAACTCCAGTCAATAATAACATTCCCAGGATGGAAAGATGGCTTATCAATAAAAAGCACTTGCTGCTCTTTCAGAGGCCCTTATTTCAAATCTCAGCATCCACCTCAAGTAGCTTGCAACCACCTGTAACTCCAGCTCATTGGCCTCTGACACTATCTTCTGGGCTCTGAGGGCACCAAAACACACCCACAGAGAGATAGGTACACATAAATAAATGAATACATATCATTTCAAAATTTAAAAATAGTATTTCAAAAGTTTTAATTCATCCATAGAATAACTTTTGATCCACTCTTCCATAATAGCCTATAGGCAAAAGAAAAATATGTGGAAATAGTTGATTCATTCTCTTTTTAGACAAATATTTAGGTAAAATATTGTGCTTGAAGAATATCAGAAGGTAAGTTAACAGATAAGTTCTTGTGGCCATACATCCCAAAGTAAAGAAAGACCATCATGAAACAAATTATCACTAAAACAAGCACATAATTATAAAATGACCCTAACACTATAAGGGAAGTGTTGCTATGGAGATGAGGAAAAAGGAACCTAGTTTAAGGTAAGCCAGGAACTGTGATTATCTCAAAGATAACATCTCAAAAAAAGTGTAGTTTGATCCCTTGATCTGAAAAAGTGGCCAGATGAAGTCTTTAGGAGGGAAGTGGGTTCAGGTTTTAAACCCTGACATGCAAAGAGCTAAAGTATCAGGAGAGGAAAGGTAGTGGATCGGCAAGAAGTGTTGAGAAGAGTGTGGGACAAGTGAGAAGGGAGGGCTGGGAAGAGAGCAGGTAACACAAGCTCCATTTGACCAAGTTCATTACTCAGCCACACCTAAAATTAAACACATGTGCAATTTGTGTGTGGATTTTAAAAATGTATTTATCTCAGTATGTTGCCGAGTTAATATCTGTTTATACTTGTAAACTGTGTGTTTATTAAAATTCCCTAAAGCCCAAAGAGAAAGGAGAGAAGAGGTTTTAATTCCTGTTGAAATGAGGATAGACATTTAAATAGAACCTGCATTGTTTAAATTCTACTCTGACCCCATATTACATTGAGCTATTCCACAGGATCAGCTCACCTAAAGTATAATGTAGTCTACCTAGAAGGAGAGTATTCCTTATTTACTAAAGATACACTAAGTTGCACAAAGTCTCCTCAAAACTCATGAATTTAGGATGAATAAAAATATTAATCCCAAATGCCCAAGAAAGGCTGTTTCAGAAGTTTTTAAACTTAAATTTAATGATGTGGATCAGCCAGGAAATGAAGAGAGCTTTATCTTTCACAAATAGTAAAACTGGCATCACCCTCCTGAGCTGCCTATCTAATTAGGGTTCTTGTATCTCACTTAGAAGTCATCTCCTGAAACAATGAGTCCTGGTGTCTAACTGTCATGAAAGAGAACAGCAGAGAATGAATTCAGATTTCATTTGTTCTCTCAAGCACAAATTGCTCAGTAATTGATTAATTTATAAAAAAAATCTAGATTCTTGGGTTTCTATTACATTATTCAGAGGTGTTCACACAATACTGAGGTGCACCATATGAGAAGTGAGGTAGGAATTATGCTTAATGAAAGATAGCCGAATCTGTAATGTGTGTGTGTCAATGCTCACACAAGTAAGTACACCAGTGAGTGTGCATGCAGCTGGAGCACAAGCATTTGGCTACGTGTGGGTATCATTCGTATGAATGTGGGAGAGTGTGTTGCTGTACATGCACATCATTCTGTCACACAGATATCATTCCCATTAAGTTGTTGGATATCCAGCAAACATTAATTCTGTCAGCAAAGTCCTCCCCATTCTCCTGCAAGCTAAGCACCCTCCTGAAGTGAAAATACATGTGGATTATAAAACCAATTCAGCTCATGTGTTTCTAGTATATAAGCCAAGTCCACCCTTTAGGGACCAGCGACACTAAGGTTCAAGGACTCAAGCAGGAATGAACTAACATCCCTTCTCCAAGTCCCTCTTGACAAATCTGACATTTGAGAAGGACATTTCAGTGAACAAGCCAAGTGCCCCTTCCTGCTGATTTCCTTCATCTCACTTACAGAATCAATAAAACACAATAAAAAACAAAACCCATCTCCTTGAATAGAAGGCATGGTTTGCTGTTGCTTGGGTGCAGTGCTCAATTAACATTGGGCCACTGTCCTTCATCAACCTGTACTTTCTTTCTATCCTAACACATAACTATGATGTTCAAATTTTTATTATACTATGTTTAATCTTTTAACTGTTTAGTTGTAGAAGCTCTCTTGACTTCATTTATTCATTTATTCCTTTGTTTTTGAGACAGAGTTTCACTATGTTGCCCTGGCATGTCATATACCCTACTGTTCAAGAGATCTTTCTATTTTAGCTGCCATAATCCCTGGGATTGAGAGGAAGCAACCAGATTTTTGGAATATGGTTTTTAAAACCTCAGGAAGTGGTATCTTTCCTACAAGGATTAAGGATCAGTCACATGTCAAGAAAACTGAGGCTCAAAGTGCTGATACATATTGGATCCTCACAACACATGATATGAAGAACAGTTATCACTTAGCAAATAAGGAAATGGAGGCAAGAGAAGCTAAGTGGTTTCTCCCACTTCACTGCATGGTGTATCTACTTAGCCCTCTGAATAAATATGCATCAAGTATTTGAAGGCAATGGAAAATATATCATTGATTCAGTATTTCAGTAAAAGTATTTAAGCAGGACTTACATTCTACCCACCCATTGTCCCATATAATTTCATTATCCTCAATATGGATTAGATTTTAACAGAAGTGGGAGTGTCACCAGCTCATTAAACACAGAAAGTTGGAATTACGGAGATGACTTTGTAGATACAAGAACGTGTTTTTTTTATAACACCTTTTTAAAGATTTATTTCATATTTTGCTTATGTGTATGTGTGTTTCTGTGTATATGTATGTTTATGTGAGTGCAGGTGCCTGAAGAGGCTGGAAGAGTGTATTGCATCCCCTGGAGCTAAAGTTACAAGTGGTTGTGAGTTACCCAGTGTGGATGCTGGGAACTGAAATCTGGTCCTCTACAGGGACAGCAAAGACTCTTAATGTTATGCCACTTCTCCAGCCCTGAGTGTATTTCTGAGCACAGTGATAACATGTTCTCTACTTTTAACATAACAGCTATATACAGGATTGTCCAGAATTCATATCTTTCTTGACTCTTCTGGTTATATGATGTAATTTGTGTTACCACATTAGTAGACTTCTCTGTTAACATCGATAATAAAAATAAGGAAGCAGAGTGTGTGCTGAGACCTATATCTAGATGCAGGCATCTGGTCTTTTCCCAGGAACTGGGCTGAATGGACCATAGGAAATCAATGTCTTTGTAGACATAATAAACCTTACTACAGATATTTTCACAGCATTTTTACAGAAGAAAACATAAAAATGCAACCTAATTTAGTTACTCACATCTGTAAGCTCAGCACTTTAGGAGGCTGAAGCAGGAGGTTTGCTGTGAGTTCAAGGCCAGCCTGGGCTACAGAGTCTCAACATAATTTTTTTAATTAAGTAAAACGGATGCTGGACTCTCTTGAAATCATAGCACAGCAAATTAGTGAATTAGAGTAATCTTTATCATTGAGCTATTAGCCTCTCATGGGGCTCAGAATGATATCTTTATAACACATGGGCCATTCCCTTGAGGGTTTCAATGCAACCATAAAGAAAAATATCACCAACAAGCATTTCAAGGTTAAATCTAACTTAGCATTTTAAAGATGTGTTTAAATGTTTCTGTGATTTTATCTTATTGCAGGACTGTCCAACCTGAATTGAAATCACTTGCAATGGGTTTCCACTCGCTGGTTATACGTGCGCTAGGTATGGTAAACATGTCAAATTCAGGTAGTAAATATTCATGCCAAGCTTAAAAAGCTGAACATAAACAAGTTCCAGTTTTAAGGTAAGTTTAAAGACTTAAAAATCCTTTCTATTTCTAGTAAATGAAAGTGGTAGGAGATGGAAGAACCCAAGTGACCTGAAAGAATTGATTAGCTAACTGCAAAGCTAAGGCTAGACCAAGGGATCATCCTGTCTGTAGGATGTTATCACAGGTATTGGACTTCCCAGAGTCCTTTGCATTGAGGAGTGCTTCTTTCAGGTGGGCAGAGTAAAGGGCCAGCTCCACACATGACATCTTTAGGTAATGCCTCATGTGCCTTGAGTGCTGGGAACTAGGTCAGTTTGAGTCTGTACAGAACAGAAACTGAAGATGATGGCCTGGCTTCCCACTGCCTGGTTCTGGAGGCTCTGGAGCCTTTACCAGCAACTCAGCATGCAAAAGGAAAAGAGAACCCGTGCTCTAGAACCCATCATCACCTTGGATAAACAGAAGACTTTAACTGAAAGCAAACTCAAGAATTGTGATTTCCATGTCAAGATTAGAACCCTAGGCTCCAAATTCTTAAATATTCAAAAGATGTAATTGACAGAGATTTAAGGAAGTATCTCCATCTTTTATCCCCATTTGCCCCTAGATGTCTGTTGTCACTTTCACAACTTCTAACACAACCTCTGTAAGACTTGTAGGCATTGAATGCTTATATATAAAGAAATAGGGGGAAAAAAGGAAAATCAATCACCTATGGATGGAGTAGAGATCTAATTAGAAACAACTACTGATGCAAAGCTAAATTTAAAGATCAGCAAAGGAGACAGAAGGGGTCTACCCCCAGCACCTTTGCAGGTGGAAAAAAGAAACAACCCTGGCTGATGACAGTGGAGAGAAGCTGTTCAAGACTTGTGTAGGAGACAATATCTTGGATCCTCAAAGGGGGAAAAAAGGAATTGTAAGTGGGAAATGAGGTGGGTGGGGTAGGTAGGAGGGCCTCTTGGTAGTTCTCCATGCATCTCACTCCAGGCTGGAAGCTTCTATATGTTCCAACAGTCCCCAACTTCCAAATCCAAATGAAACTCCATACTTCTAACTGCCTCCCAAACCTAAGTGTTGTGTGGTTAGCATGTCTCCTGATATTCTAAGGAGAGACTTGGAGAATAAAAGAAATTCTTCTAACATCATAAAACATAAAGAAAAGGGAACTTGCCATCACAAGTAGGAACTTTTGATAATGTTATGTCCAATATGTGACTTCATCAAACTTAAACATCTCTATGAGGAAAGCATATTCTAAACACCACACTTCTAATTCACAGACAACTGTCTTCAGACAATATCACTGAACACTATCAAGCATCTCTACGATATACTAAACTGAATAAGTTACTTGGAAAATAACTTACTGGAAAATAGTAAATTCTAACAATGACCAACACCAGCTTTCTTAGCTAAAATATTTAGTTCAGCAAGTCCACTAACACCAGTATCATCACACAGGAATTATGTATCATTGATATATATTTTTCATTTCTCAAAAGATGGCCCCAATTTTTTGGAAACACAAACTACTAAAGTGGTTCCTCAGACCAGTTTTTATTTGGCTACATTGGCCTCTGTTATCAGGCCATTATCAACTACTCTTTCTGAGAAAAGTGGGAACAGGAGCTGAAGTGACATCACATTCAGTAGCTGATGGCATGTGCTGTTCGTAGAGGGTTCAGAGTTCAGTTCCTATCATCATATCAAATGATTTGCAGCTGCCTGCAACTTGAACTCTGGGGAAAGGATGCCCTTTTCTGACCTTTCTAGCACTGCACTCATAAGCATGCACAGATATGAACATAGAAATTAGTTATACATAAATCTTTAAGAATGAAAATAGAGTAATTTTATGAAATCGTAAAATTGTGATATATGAATTACTTTCTTACATGACAAAATTTGAGATTTGTTCATCAAAATACCTAAGAAAAAGAACCACAGAGCTTCTGAGTGAGACCTCTACTAATATGTCCCTCCAATCTGGGGCCAGTTTAAAAACTGAGTCAATCTCAGAGTTGATTAAATATCAGTAAGAAACAGTTGTGTCACTATAGTATACATGTGCTCTGAAGAAACCTTGTATTGTATTTTTGCATACCACAACAAAAACTAGTTTAGGTCAACTATTGAAACTTTGAAATTGGAAGACACAAAAACAAAATTTACCCACAAGGGCCCAAGTTGAACTGCTCAGGACACATCAAAAGATATTTAAGCATATACAAAATCAGTGAAAAGAAAATGCCAGGTCATGGAATCAGATGACACCAAAAAGAGGAGGTGGAGTCTGACCCTAGAAGCCAACATCCCACGGCAGGAGATTCTGAGCCTCCACTTCTCTGGGGAAAGTTTCCTGAAATAAGAATTCCATTTTTAGTTTTATTTTTTCACCTTTAACATTTTTTTTATTTTATTTGTTTGCTTAGGTAGTTAGCTTTATTTATGTGTAATGGTGTATGCATGTTTTTCTGTATGTGCACCACCTGCATACATGCACATGGGGTCCAGAAGAGGTAATCAGATCCCCTGGAACTGGCAGTGACTTCCCTGATGTAGATTCGGGGAAATGAATGTTGATGCTTTCAAGAGCAGTAAGTGCTCTAAACCATTGACCCATCTCTCCAGCCTTTTAGTTTTCTAAAAAAAAAAAAAGTTGAATAAGCTCCTACCTTTGTAGGATTTTGAGAAATACTATTTCCACTAATGATAAAGTTAAAATTCTATTCCAATTATTCCAGATGATTCCAATGATGAAAGAAATGACATGTGGCCATGTTTTACTAATAGCACTCTCCTTTTCACTAGATAGGCTTCAGCTAATTTGTGTTGCAAGAATAGAGTTTACAGGCAGGTAGAATTCCTTCTTCCGTATGTATGTCGGAAGAGTAGGGATAGATAAAAGATGTTTATGACGTTACTCTATGGTATGATCTTTTGAGAAATCTACTAACATTAATTCTTGCACATATCAAAGCAGAAACAATGAAATTGTTCTACAAGGTTTTCAACTGTTACTTTCTTCATAATGTATCAATGTGATATACCCCCTAGTTACATTTGAAGTGTGTATTTTGGGTTGACAGCTTTTCCTTTCATGTTGTAGGAGGAATTTTAGCTCCAGTCTATTTTGGGGCCTTAATTGACAAAACGTGTATGAAGTGGTCTGTCACCAGCTGTGGAGCACGAGGAGCATGTAGGGCATATAACTCTGAATTGTTTGGGTGAGTTGTCATAAATATACTATGTTAATTGCTAAGTGGTGTCATTTCTTTTTGTTAAGCTTTTATTAATGTGTACAAGTATGTTTACCTACATGTATGTGTGTGCACCACATATGTGTAGTGCCAGCAGAGGTCATGTGAAGTCAGGCTCTCTAGAACTGGAATTATAGATGTTTGTGACCCAGCATGTGAATTCTGGGGACAACCCAGGTTTCTCATGAGAGTAGTCAGTGTTCTTGATCTCTGAGCAATCTCGTTAGCTCCATATAGTATTATTTTCAATTCAATAATTAATGTTATCATTAATCAACCCTTACTTCATATTCAGTATTGTATCAGGTAATCTCATTTTAATGCTAGTAGAAACAATAGCAAATTTATGTTTATATTTTTACCTTAAATACAAAGATGGAAAAGTTCAAGGATAATGAATAACTTGCCCAAAGTCATGCAGTTTGAAGTGAAAGAGATATATTTTTGCTCAATTATGGTTTTATCTCCAAAAACTCTGCTCATACCCCATACATCATTGGCTCTGTCTTCTGAAGCAGGATATGGGGTGTGTTATAAAGAGGGAAAAGGAGGAGTATTTATATACTATTCATGGGGAGAGAAGACAACTTAACGGTAATTTAGAAGAACAAAGTGAAACATTTCTTAGAAAATAATTAATTGCAAATTTGAGTATTGATTAATTATTGAACAGATATTACTCAAAGTAGATTTAAAATAAAACTATTTGGGGTGCACAAGTATATTTGTATAATGACCCAATCCCTCAAAAATGTGACAGAAAATGTTAAAGTATTTTTAAAACTCTACATGACAGAAATTATTTTAGGCAACACCTAAAGACAAAAGACAAATTAGAAGAAGAAACTGGATTGAGTGATACAGTCATAAGGAAGTGTTCTAGATCTCCTGAGCTCCCCAAAAGAGCAAAATACAAGTGAACCCTACAAAGAGGCAGAACCACAGAGGCCGGCTTCCACGGCCAATGGATATCAAATGATGTGTGTTGAAGGACAGTATGTCCCCCTTATTCTAGTTTGTAAGACATTGTCAGGCTATCTTCCAAATCACGCTGCACCAATCACAAATAAGAGTTCTTGTTGTGCAAATTGCTGCCAATGGTATCGGTGCCATAGTGGAGTTGATTCATGGTAGTGTTGATGTCATGATGATATTTGTATCATGGTGGTGGTGTTGCCATGGTGGACCTGCTGTCATGATGGAGTTGATGTCATGGTGGGTGATAGGGTGTAGTTAGTATCATGTCTCCATTCTGATCATCTCAACATGCCGGCAAATCAATGACTGGGTTTAAAGACTATCCATTTTCTTCGATCCATGGTTATTGTTTTATTCCTTTTTGCATGATTTCTGTTTCTTTTCTTGAGAATTAGACATAAAATATTATGGTAAAGAGACTACTATAGTCCGTTAGGGTTGTGGTATAAGGCACAGATGGGAGAGTGGCTTTCTATAGTCCTATGTGCTAAGTCTCACTTTCAGCGGTCCTGGATATTTGGGCTGTGAAAGTCAAATGTATTTCTTGGTACTCTCTCCGTACATTGAGAGGGATATGATGGCTTGCGGGAGAAGGATCTGAATATTCCTCTCTTCCACTAGAAAGTTAGAGTCAGCTGGAGTTTACTTTCTATGTCTTGACAATTCTTTAGAAATAATCTCAAAGTCTTTATGGCCCAACGGACAAAATCCATTTTGGATTTTGGAACTGTTTGTTTTCTGCCTTTATAATTTAATGTTTTATATATAATTTCAATTTTTGCCTTTAAGGTCCACATACTTGAGATAAATGCTATACTACATAATACAAAATAATATTTGTCCCATTTTTTTCCCTAGAACCATCTACTTGGGTTTGGTCACATCTTTAAAAGCTCCAGCACTTATTTTATATGTTGTATTTATTTATGCTCTGAAGAAAAAATATGAAAGAAAAGATAGCAAAACATTGGAAAATGGTGGAAAAGTCACAGATGAAGCAATTCCAGAATCGTTAAATAAAAATGGATACCATTCTGTACCTTCTGGTGGATCATACACTGAAACACCTCTTTAAGAAAAGCAAAAGTTACATCTGTTGCTGTGCTTCCAACCAGTTTCCGGTCCTTTCATTGAAGATTTCCACACTTCATATGATGAATAATGGATAATCCTATGAATTTATAAAGAAAAGAAACTACAAATCAAGCAGACTAGGAGCATCGTTGTCAGGGCATAGGTGTGCATTGGAGGCTAGGATTGGAATATATGATCTGTACAAATTTAAAGCATAAAAACTGGTTAGTATACAATAGAAAAAAATTCACTTAAGCATACATAACTCAATAAAATAAGTGGCTAGGATTTGCAGAGGGACAAAGGAAGGAGAGAAATTGGTTGCCTCTATAAGGAGAAAACACCTGGTATCTTTAAAAATCAAAATTTGAATAGTTCTATTCACACCCAGAGTCTCTGCTGATGGAGGACTTCATGACATAGCATCCTCTGGTATCCATGTTCAGTTGTATATTTTGCAGAATTATTAATTTGAAATTGTGTTTAACAGCACATGCATCTTCTTTTTACATGCTCTTATAGTACTGAGGAATAGAACAGAAACATTAAAAAATTACAAGCTATGACTTTCAGAAAACTTAACATACAATGCATTCTAAGAGCCATGACAATGGATTGGAAAATCCCACATTGACTGACGAAAGCAAAGACCATTGAATAAATGAGCCTTCACTCCATCTGTCAGCTCTCTGAGACAAGTGTGTGCCAGACAAAGTGTGTATTAGAGGATATTAGAGTTCACCATTTACCAATGTTGTATTTGTCTGTTTTTTTTTTTTGGATGTGATACATATACACTTACATGTATGTATATATGTATATATTATATAAATACTCACTGAAATCAAGATATGAAGTAGAGTGAATAAGACAAAAATCTCTGGATATTGTATTTTCTAGTGAGAATGGATCTAGTATAATAGATGGTAGAGGATGTACTTGTTTTATTGTCATAGGTTAAAACATTTTGTTTGCATTAAAATTGCCTATTACATTAATGACTTTTCTGTTGTTGTGAAAAAATACCCTGACAAAAATGTAACCCAGAGGGAAAATGATTTATTTTGCAGTTCTAGATATATAGGGCCCATCCTGGTGGTAAAGACTTGGCAACAGGCCGAGGGCCATGGTGGCAGGAGCAGGAAAATGGCCGATCACATTTCACCCACATACAGGAAGCAGAAACATAGGGAATATGAGTTGAGGCCAGACTATAAAACCTCAAAGTGCTCTTCCAGTGACATACTTCCTTCAGCAAGTCTGTAACTCCTAAATGTTCCATAAAACTCCTGCACAACACCCACCTCTGGAGACCAAATGTCCAAACAAATGAGGTATGGGAAATAATTTTTAATCAACTGTCACACACACACACACACACACACACACACACACACACACACACACATATATATATACATATACATATATATACATACATATATATATATATATACTCATTCTATATACATATGAAAGACTATAGTCCTGATCCACAGATTCTAATTCAAAACATCTCTGACATTATCTGAATTAAGTCCTTTAAATAATCCCTCATGTGGTAGGAGTTTTTACCAGAAGTCAGTATAAGAAAGTTGTGCAACATGAATTTTGCTAGTAACTGGGAATGGATCTGGAAGTTACACATGGTAGCCTGTCCTTCCACTGAGGAACTAAGAAGAGATCTCTTAATCATTGACACAGAAATCTGGGGGGGAACCCACAGGCTAAGTCAGTAAGCATTATTCTTTTCCAGGAAAAACAAAATATATATTTTTTTGTTTGCTTGTTGTTTTGTTCGTTTGTTTGTTTAGCTCATGGACAATTTTATTAGAATTTAAAAGAAAAAAAACCAGGGCAGGAAAGCTATAAATCTCAGAGACTACATGAAGGAGGTTGATGGAGGAGAGGAAGAGAGAAAACCAGCGTTTATAAGTAGCTACATGGGGTTGGGAGAGAGGAGATGTTGGGTAGCTTCAGAGAGAAAGGATGAAATGGCCCAGCATGTTCTAGAATGTGGAACACACAACAAGACTGTCATAGTTAGCTTTCTGCTGCTGTGATAACACACTAATCAAAAGCAACTTGAGAAATGAACAGTTTATTTCAGCTTATAAGCCTTAGTCCATGACTGAGGATATTCAGGGCAGCAATTCCAGGTAGGAACCTAGAGGCAGGAACTGAAACAGTCTACGAACAAATACTATTAACTGCCTTGATCTCCATGGCTTGCTCAACCTGCTTTCTTGTATACCCCAGGACTACTTGCCCAGCTGGGGCACAACCCACAATGGATTTGGCCCTCCCACATCAATAATTAAGCAAAAGAATGTCCTACAGGCTAGCCTACAGTTTAATCTGATGGGGTCATGTTCTCAATTAAGATTCTATCTTGTATCAGTTAACAAAAATCTAACAAGGAACAGGATGTTTATTAGACCCTCACCTGAATTTCTGTCTGTCCCTCCTGCCCACCACAGATCTGGTTTCATATAGTCTTGGGAAATGCTGGACTATATAGGGTATAATGTTACCTGAAGGAGAGATTCCATCTATCAACTCTGGGAAGTCAGCAATCTTTCTGGGCTGAAACCTTTTGGTGATATGGCTCTTTTGAAGTGCCCCAAGTTCTGTTAACCGTTCTCCCATGCACCCATAAGAAAGCCCATTAAGCTCGCTGGTTCACCAAGACAGACAGTGGAACTGTTGCTTTAGTCTGTCATTGATGTCTTATCTGGGGGTAAACAGACATTTGTCCACAGCTCCTCAGAAAAAGTTATGCATGCATGATGTCTGATGAGAGTCTTGTGGCAGAATACATCACAGGGCTGTGGGTAAGGGTGGAAGAGATCACATGGTGAGGCAGGAGGCCAGAGCAACCAAGGAGCCAGGCTTGTAGTTCTGCTAAAAGCCCACTCTCCATGGAATGAATTAGATTTTCTAAAAAGGAACAGTCCCTTCTGAGAGCAGCAGTGACCTAATAACCTTGATGAAGCCACACCTATCCACATCACCACCTTGAAAAAAGGTATGAACATGAACATATGACACCCACCCAGACAATCTCCATCCAAATACAGTGTTTCCCAACTAGGCAGAGGTTCGAGCTACCTTATCTAACTCTTTCAAGATTTGAGTTAGCTGTCAGCCTGATAACATCGGTTCATTGCTAAGGTCCAGAAAAGATACAACTTGCATTTATCCAGCAATTTTTCTGTTGTAGTACATGGTTGAGACATTCCTACTGAAACCAGAAGTCTCTTTTTATTACACTTTTGTAATGGATATTTTGCCATTAATTTTTATGAATTTTGAAGATCAATTTCAAGTAGTTGGGAATATTCTGTGACAGAAAACAATTCTCAGATTTGTGTCAGATTTGTGCTTTCAAGTTTTGTTGCAAAGATGGGAGCCCAACTGAGCACAGTCAAATTGTCACTGAGCTTCATGCTACAAAGTTTTCAGGGTTTCTAGGAGCCAGACTGCTTTTGTTTGCCTCTACGCTGGATGCAGACTAGAACTTTCTTAGTCTCTGCCCCTCTCATTGACTCAATGCAGCCCGCTGTTTAAGTCATGAAGGTGCATCAGATACTTCTCTAAGGCCTCCTGTTTGCAACCCATTTCCATTGCTCTGCTTTTGAAAGATGTCTTTTTTCCTGCTTACTGTATCTCCCAGTTGACTTCTGTTACTGACCTTTGAGCCCTGGATGTTGCCACCCCTATCATACCCCATACCTGGGCGTGATGCAGGTACCCCCAGTGCACAGCCCTCTGGAGGACCATAACCCCTTGTTCCTCCTGCTACTCATCTGATCCATGCCCAGAATTTCTTATTTCTAAGCCTTTTGTGTTCTCGACTTGCTCTGATTTCTCCCTCTGATCATTGGATTCAGTTTTGCAGAGATTCAGATGTCTATTGGCTGTGGATAATATTGAAGTATTATTTTATGCTGTTCTGTTTTATTAAAAAGCTGACTCTGGCCAGGTAGTGGTAGCACACGCCTTTAATCCTAGCACTTGGGAGGCAGAGGCAGGTGGATCTCCATGAGTTTGAGGGCAGTGTTCGATTGCTCCAATGGGTCTCTTTCTCACAGGGGTGAAATCTCTGAGGCAGCTGTTCTCCAGGCTTTCTGTTTCCTCTGGGCAATCAGCAAATGAACACTATACTGGCAAAGGTGACCTCTGCATCCAAAGATATAGTGTGGATAAATGACCAAACACCCAGTTACAAACAGATAGGTGTTCCTCAGCTGAATTCAGAATGATTAGAATTCACAGAGGTCTGGGAAATTTGTGCAGCAGGTCTATCAGGAAGCTGGGAATCATTTCTTCCCTTTCCAGACTGCAGGATGTAACAAAGGAGGATCAGGAACGCAGGTTCAGCAAATCTCACCCCAATTTCCCTGGGGAGCATCAGCACTGTATGTCATCAGGGCCGGCGTTCCTCTGTTCCACACACTGTAGCAAGTGCTCAGGCAGTCATCGGGCTTCATTTTCTCCCTGTGAAAAAACACAAACATGCCCTTGACCCCATATTAAAACAGGGTTGGGACCCTTCCAGAATCCAGTGCAAGGATCCTTCCATTTCACCTGAGCAAAATTTGCTCTGATGCCATCATGCCAAAATCTATCCATGGCAGATTGTTCATGTGCATCCACATTCAAAAAATTCAAAATGAAGAGGGTATGATTCAATGTATTATGCGGTGACTGAGGGTTTAACTCCTCCCTCTTAATTTTTTGAAGTTGCATCTTGAGATTGCTGTGGACTCACTCAATGATGCCTAGTCCTTGAGGATAATAAGGAATGCCTGTTTTATGCACAATTTGCCACTGGCAACAAAATTGCTGAAATGCTTTACTAATATATTCAGATCCATTATCCAATTTATAATTTTAGGAATCCCCATTTATGAAAAACAATTTAAGCAATGAGCTATCACATGCTTGGAGACTTCCCGATTTTGCACAGTGGCCATTGAAACCCTGATTAAGTATTCA